TGAACCACAGTAAGTTCTGCTGCTTAAAGAGTTCTTGTGATGATCTTACTGCAAACCTGACAAAATGAGAAAACTATATCAGAACCTGACCAGCCAAAGGCAGAAGATAGGCAGGAGAAAGGTTGATATTTTTAACAAATGTTGCTGTTTTGATCAGCAACCATTCATAATGATAGTAAAACAGACTTAGTGTTTTGAATTTTTGGATGCAAAGCGGGCGGGATTTTGAGGGTGGGAGGACAAAGCTGTGTGACGCTGGAGAAAGCACAACAAGGATGATGGCAATCAGTTTTACCGACATGCTGTTTATTACACTCCCCCACCAGCTTTCTGTCGCGCTTATTACGTCACAGTCAGTTGCGCTCATTGGTGAGAGCGTTGACCAATAGGCACAGACATGGTTTGAAAGACAACGGGTTGTTCTCATCAACAATCTTCCGATGTCTCATTCATCGGGGCCAGACTAAATAACACATTTAATCTCACATTTAGTCTGGTTTATCAGGCTAGCATTACGGAGTTCTTTGATGATACTGCCACCTGTGGCCCAAACCCAGAACTGCAGCGCTCCTCTGCTCATTCTCGTAGCTTGAGCTCAAACTAAACAAATTTTTATTAATTTTTTCCCACCTTACTTGGAGTTGTTATTATTTTCTGAGTTTAGTTGGATGCTGGTCACTTATGAGTATCCACAAAATCCATATTGAATATAAAGCTTTGATTGTTTGAAAGGTCGGACGCGTTTAACATGGACGTGCTTGACGTCACATCTGCCAAACAGCCTGGCAACCTCTGCCCAGAGGTGTATTAAGGAAAGGGTACAGACTTACAGATGCATCACCGTTGATACAGAGGTGACAGATCATCAAACAATGTTTTGTGATAAAGGGTCAAATAGAGAGACTATCTTAATCACAAAAAACAAAAAAAACAAACAGAAGACTGTTTTTACAGTTTAATTTACACCTTTGTGCTGTCTGCTGTTAAGCTAATTTTTTTCATTAGTGTTTCTTTATCATCCAGTGACATCTGTACGGCATCTAAATATATGTATACGATACAGCAGCATCATTTTGTGGTTGGTGGTGTTAAGGTTAATAACAGGAAGAAGGCAATGGAAGCTTCCTGGTAATAAGTCAGCCCACTCCTCACACTAATCTTACATGTAAAGAGATGCTGCAACAAAAGTAATGTTTTAAACTGAAGAAAGAGAAGCCCTCAGTTTCAGACCTCTAGGACCGCTCCACTCCAACACTCCCAGGTCTTATCGATTTTTAACAGCAGAACTACACAGACATCTTCCAGCTGCATGTTTGTTTGTTTGTAAGTTTATTTGACCAGTAAGGGCACACAGGCTCCAGAGTTAGGGTATTATTTCCACACTTTGGGGGATCAACTTAAACTTGACTAAGTTAAATTTTAAAGGTAGTGGAGGATTTTTGTGAATTTTTGAAAAGACCCACCCTCTCCCCTCAAAAAAAAAAAGTTGCACATGCACAACCCTGTACCCGCTCACAAGAGGGAACGCCTATTAAATGCTTGTGAGAGCATGCAGGAGCCCATTTCTCCTCATGCAAGCTCTGTTAAAAAGTTTCCGTTTGCATCGCTCATACAAACTTACTTTGCAAAATAAGATTTACATTTTTCCACTATGTCAGACTCACCACTGGTAAGTGAAAATGGGGCAAGCACATGGGATGGCCTTACGTAAACATATCACTAGAATAATTGATAATTAGGAGGACCACTTATTTTGATGATCCAACCGGAACAAGAACATCCTCCTATACATTTAACTATTTGTTATAAATTATTTAGTACAGAGAATTTAAACACTGAATTTTGTTAGTAATTTTTGTTAGATTATAGTTGCAAAAAATTAAGCAAAATGATGTTTAATGCCTGTTTTTTGCTCCACCCGTCTTTCCCTCAACTCTTCAATTTTAATCAGTCATATATCCCAGAATGGCATTTGGTGCACAGAAAGTCAGAGCGAGAAAAAACACACAAAAAAACCCAGAAATGTAAATCAGAATACAGTTATTAAGGTTTACAGCTTGATACTTGAGAATAATAAATAATTTAAAGATGTATTTAGGAGAATCTTTCTTTTTAGTCCTGTTGAGAAATAACCTTAAAATGCTCAAAATATATATCTTAAGTTCATAGCTGAAAGTTTTTCTAATTTCATCTGTACAATTCCTGAAGGCATCATTGCTCCTTCTCTAGTTAATGCTCAACCCCTTTAAACTATCAGATTAGATTTGACAGATGATGGACTGTACAGCCCTCTGTAAGAGCTTCAAAACCTAGAATATTTCATTAAATCCATAGTTTCTCCCTGCTATGTTCCTTTGTCTTCATGATTTTTACTTATTATTTCTAGAAAAAAACCTCTGAGGCTTTCACAAAAAAGGTGGGAATGATGTGAAAAACAAAACATAGCCATAGTAATAGGTGACTTTAAGGTTTTTTTTGGCTTGTCTGGATTGTATTTAGGTGTATTAGTAAATCAACTGACTTTGGTTGTGCCAAGAGCAAGGCAGTAAACTAGAGGGGACTGGGCATTTGCTGTGGCTGTGTCAACACTATGGAACCATCTTCCTTTGAATTTTACAGCAGCAGTTGCTTTGCATTTTGAAGTCTGTGTAAAAAAACAAAACAAAAAAAAAACCTACCTGTGAGCAGCTTCATTCTATATTTTTTTCCAATCTTTTACTATTTTTATTATTATCTTCCAGTGTTTTAAGTATGTATTTTTTTTTGTATGTATACCCCGCCAACACACACACACACACACACATATATATATATATATATTTATTCTCTTGTCCCCATGTAAAGCACTTTGAACATAGGCATCTTTATTAAAGGTGCTATAGAAATAAAGTTGACATTGACAGGGTTAAAGGGGATGGGGAGCTTTTTTAAATTTCCATTTGTAGTGATTTTTTAAGGCCCTATTTTCCTTTTTCTTTGCAGCTGTGTGTTACCTTATTTGTATTATTTAAAGTCACTGTAAAGTACATTGAAGTTTGGGGCTGAAATAAAAAAAAAAAAAAAGATCTTTTTCAAAGGGTACGCGTCATTTTAAAAGTATTGCGTAAAGATAAAACAACAACAACAAAAATTGAGACAATAGGTTGAGTTTTAACCATTATTGTGATTTATTTTAAAACTTCTGTGGCCAGATTTACAGTAACTCAGACCATGTTGCTGACCCAGAAAAAACTGTTTAACTTTGGGCAGAAAATCTCTTTCTGTGAGGTAAAATAAACCCTTTCTCTGTGTTTATGTATGACAACTGTGCCCTCTTAAAAAGGTTATTGTTCTTTAGTTTTCACAAGAGATGCAGTGAAAAGAAAAAAACGACTGAGAAAAATCCATCTTGTTCATTTGTAGCAGATGTGCATGTGTGGATCTGATTTTACATGGTTGCATCAGACAATGATTGTTTCGAAATCGGGTCATAAAACATCCACCCTTAAGGAGCCGCATATTCTGTTGAACATGTGAACGGCTTAGTATTTAACTAGTGCAGCTCATACAGGGTCAGGAACAGTAAAACATTCCCCAGAGGTAATGCTGGTAACCATGATGTGTTTTTCTTCTCAAAAGTTAACATCACTTCATGTTTCTTTTGCATATCAGTTGTTGAAACTTTTGTACTTTTATCTGCCAACCCTTGCAGCTTTTAGTCAGTGCATTTGTGGGCCTAATCAATTGGAACAATATGGGGTAATCAATTTAAACAATATGCTATTATTTTCCATCTTGAATTAAATTCATTTAATTCAAAAAGTGACAGAACCCATGTTTGCATGAGGTCAATTGATAAGTAGTTAATTATGATGTTTTATGTATTTTGCTTGTGCTGGTCCTCTGTGCTGTAGACATCTAAAGCCAGGCTATGTAAACCAGGGTTTTACAGAGCACTTCATGCTTTGCTCTGGAGACAGGCCATACAGAAATGCTGATCTCATGCTGCATTAAATGTAAGAAAAGCTGCTATGAGTGATTGACCAGAATTTAGAAGAGCCTAAAAGTTATCTGTTAAATATTCTGTTATTTTTATACACTTTCTAAGGTTCACATTGTGTGACCACTTCTGCTATAACCTTTTGCTGCTGTGTCACCACAATTTCCCCATTGTGGGACAATAAGAGGTTTTCTATTCTATTTTAAGAACATAAGAGACACAAGTTTAGACCCACCAATCTGAAGACACACAGTGGGTGGAATAACTATTGAACACGCCAACACTTTTCTCAGAAAAATATTGTTAGAGGTGTTATTGAGATGAGCTTTTCACAAGATGTTGATAGCAATTCATTCAATCCACACATACAAAGAAATCAAACCATCGATGTCCATAAATTATGGCCCCGTCCACACGAAGTCAAAACGAACACGAAACGCTGATATTTTCCAAAACGTTTGCCGTAAAGACGGAGACGTAAAATAAATGTGAGCGTCCACACGAATGCATGAAAACGCTGCAAAATGTATGCCAGGCCTGTAAGTGGCGCTGTGGTGCCAAAGCAAAAATAAGCGACGAAATGTTGGGCATGCACAATAATATTTATACATGGTTGCCCTGCGGGTCCATTTTCGTGGTTAAGTCAAATTCAGGTGCTGAACTATGTCGTCGATATTGCTCTGTTCTTCCTGGAGATATTCCAGAAGAAGATTCTGTTGTAAGCCCGACAGCAGGGTGAGTAGCATGAGCAGCAACGGCGCCATTGTTGTTGTGATGTGTCGCGCATGCGTGTTTAGAGGCGACGCTATGACGCATGCGTGTAAAAAAAAATATACGACTAGAGCGTAAAGATGGAAACGCGAAAACGGCGTTTCGAAATCTTCCCACTCTGAAGGCTGAATAAAAAAAAGATCGTTTACAGACCCCCGAAAGGCCGGCTTCGTGTGGATGAGAGGCTGGTTTGGTGAAAAATTTGTGCGTTTAGGCCAGGGTTCGTCTTCGTGTGGACGGGGCCTATGTTTTGTGTGATAAAGTGGAATTTGTACATTTGACCATGCAAATCAGACACATATTACTCAAAGTATTAGAGAGTGGACCCAGAGCAAATACAAAAGTAAAAAAGGAGTCTTGGAAAATGTAAAAGATGAACAAAGCTATTAACCTCATGAGCAACTGCAAAACCACTGGGGCTGAGGGTTGTTTGTTCAAAGTTAATAATCTAAGTTTTTTGTAACTGCATTGTTTGCTTATAGCTTGGATAGGCTTTTGTTGCTGGATTATGAACTGAAGGGGGTGGGATACTTAACTTCACACTTCTACTTCCTCCTTTTCAAACTATGTATCCTCTATATTGTAAAATGCTGTTCTTTTTATGCTTTTCTTTTATATGCATCTTTGAAATAAATAAAATATGCTTTAGATTTTTACCCTCTCATTTACGTAATATATTTATTCACCTGCTTTTTTAACTTTAAAAAGGCCCACACACAACTTTACTCAGCCAGCCTGACTGTATTCTTTATTATTTTTCTCTCCCTGTGATAAATGTGGGCTTTAAAGCTGATTTATCTGTTGTTGCTTTGAAATAACTTTACTGGCTTGATGCTAAAAACATTTTAGGCTGTCTTTGCCTGAAAGTCTGCTGATCAGTTATGCCATATTGAATTTCTCAAGTAACATCGTGCTTCACTATGTCGGGGTTAAACCACTATACTTTTGTGAGAACTTTTGTTTACTCTGACTTGCATTTCAATGTAGACGGAGCACTTTCGCAGTTGACATCACATTAATTAATTCACAAATCATGCAAAAAATCATGCATATTGAGGAGTAAACTAGAACTGAATGTATATTTTTTTACCTGATACATCAGTGAATTTTTACAGCAGACTAATTAAAGATAACATTGTCTTATGGAATATGCCACATTCTGAGAGACGGAGTTTTGGGTTGTCATTTGCTGTAAGCAGAACCATTGGCAGGAATAAACTCTTGAAATATATGACTGTACCAAATAAATCTATATAATGTGTGAGAAAAACTTTTTTAAATGTATCAGAGAAACACATAACTTTGTAATTATTCTATAACTTATTGAGTCTGACCAGTAGTTACTTTCATTAACCTTTGAAAACCATAAGAAACTTTTACCATAAGATCAACAATGTGAGCAAGTATTCTAAAGAGGCTGCTCAGCTGCTGTGGATTTTACAATTTCTTAAGCGTCATTTCATCTACAGTAGTAAATTGGTTTAAATTTTATTTGAATTCTGACATTAGATAGGAGAAAACACAAAAATGAAAAAAATAAAAGTGCACTCCCCTAAAAATAGTTTTTTTTGTTAAAGCGCTACGGAAAGCGCCAAGAGTAACAAAGTTGAAACTGAGAAAAAAGAAAGAAGCAGAAAACCAGACCAGATAACTTTGCCAAGTTAAACCATTGGGACTTAAAATAAAATAGGACCTTTAATATTTTAAGTGAAATATGAACTTCTTTCCTCTTTGTCCTATAATCTGTTACTGCTTCACGTCCTGTTTAGAAGCAGTCTATCACTGAGGTTGTGTTTATGTTTTCAATAACCAGTCCTTTGTCTGTTTAACCTGCAGGGCTCCTGTGGTCTTCTGCATCACTCTGAACTGTCAGTTGAAATGGTAGTAATCTGTTCCTTCCTTCAGCTGCAAAGAGTTTAGGTTTTCCTCTAGGACTCCTCCTGTCATGTCCTACAAATGGAACCACAACATAAAAAGCAGTCTTACATAAGAACAACATAAAAAGATTTAAAATATATATATATATATGTGATACATTTTAACAGCTTATTTTTGTGTTGGTTTTTGAATGAAAAGTAACAAAAGACTTTAGCCATGTGAACATTATTAAAGATAATGAGGAAATCTGTGATTGAGTCCAGATTTCTGTTTTCTGTGAGCGATTACCTCTGCCAATTTCCTTAATTGAGCAATTAGTAGACCGCATAGGTGGGGTCTCTTCAGATTTAAATCTAAATCTTGCTTAGTGACAAAGAAGCCTTTTCTAACTTGTTTTTACATACTAACAGAAATGCAGGAAAACTTGGGTTTTCAGTCATGCTGTCTCACAATCAAACCTAAACCTTTCCAACTATACATCATCATTCATAGCACGATATGTTTGCACTACCATGCCATGATCAAAGATCAGCCAGCTGCCTCTTCCCATTTCCTGACAGCCTCCCCTCATGTTTGTTAGTTTTACATCCTGTACTGGGCACACGCCCTGAATCATTATGTTGTTAGGCTTGGAAACAGACCTGAGGGACAAGCGGTCAGAAACAACAAACATACAACACGCAAACACACTCTCAGCTCACCAGTTTAACACAGATAATAAAGGGGCCCGTGGCTTCTTTGTAGTGCAAGATGGGGATTGTAGGCTTTGGTCTTTGCTGGAGACATATCAACAGAAAATGTTATAAACATTAAACAGTTTATAAGTGTTGGTTGAATGTTAGGAATCAAAGGCCTGACAGCTCTGTTGTGAAGGAACAATTAACAACAAAACCTGAATTTGTATCCGTAGTGATCTCACCTTGGATTCCTCATATGTGTAGAAATTCTTCTGAATTTTGTTTGCATCCACATCACACAATGCTTTGACCTTAAGTGGAAAAAAAAACACTGAATGCTGATGAGGGTAAACAACGCCTTAAAAACATGAAAAACAGCAAATTTTAGTGTCACACATCAGGACTGTCACTGACATACTTTCTTCTGATTGATCAGGCTCAGGCTTCGGTAGAGCTTCCTCCCTTGTTTACCAGCGTTCCATATGGTGAAGTTCTCCCACTGCCTGAGAACTCTCTCCTGCAGAAAGTCTACTCGCAGTTTCCAGATAGTCTCCCTGATGGCAGAAAAGAGAAATTATGTCATAATCATGAAATAATTTTACAACTAGAGCTTATATAACAGCATTTTTAGGCCTCAATTCAAAATACACAACTCTGGAAAAAAAATATATAACTTTATACTTTCTATGATTGGGCAACTTAAAGTCTCTTGAGTATTAAATGTTTTCATATTTCCAACACAAACTTCAATGTATTTTTTTCAAAATTTTATTTCACAAAGAATGTTTGTTCATTTTTGTGAAGTGAAAGAAAACTGATTTGACTCAGACAAGCCAAGAATATATCAAACCACCAATCTATTTGGGTCTCTGTCCGCCAATTAGACAAACTTACAGGTGCTGGTCATAAAATTAGAATATCATGAAAAAGTAGATTGATTTCAGTAATTCCATTTAAAAAGTGAAACTTGTATATTATATTCATACATTACATACAAACTCATATATTTCAGATGTTTATTTTGTTTAATTTTGATGATTACAAATGACAACAAATGAAAATCTCAAATTCATCATATCAGAAAATTAGAATATTACTGAAGACCAATAAAAACAAAGGATTTATAGAAATGTTGGCCAACTGAAAAGTATGAACATGAAAAGTATGAGCATGTACAGCACTCAGTATTTAGTTGGGCCTCCTTTGGCCTGTATTACTGCAGCAATGCGGCGTGGCATGGAGTCGATCAGTCTGTGGCACTGCTCAGGTGTTATGATAGCCCAGGTTGCTCTAATAGTGGCTTTTAGCTCTTCTGAATTGTTGGGTCTGGTGTATTGCATCTTCTTCTTCACAATACCCCATAGATTTTCTATGGGGTTAAGGTCAGGAGAGTTTGCTGGCCAATTAAGAACAGGGATACCATGGTCCTTCAACCAGGTACTGGTAGCTTTGGCACTGTGTGCAGGTGCCAAGTCCTGTTGGAAAATGAAATCTGCATCTCCAAAAAGTTGGTCAGCTGCAGGAAGCATGAAGTGCTCTAAAACTTCCTGGTATGTGGCCATGTCTCCTCCGCCGCGGAAGGAGACATGGCTGTTGTTGAGCTCGCTGTCTGAATGACGGCGCGCACTGATACGAACAGAGAGAAAATAGGACCAATTGATAACGACGTGTGACTTTTTCCACTACAATGTTTTTGGGATGCGAAAATATCACTCTTTTGGACACATAATGTTTTGGGAAGAGAATAGTTTTATTTCGCTGTTCCTAAAAACCTGCAGGACTACTTTCGGCTTGACCAAAACTGGACGATAACTCTGCTCACAGGACGCTGCCAGGGGTAAGTCAGTGTGATTGCATGCCGCTGGTGATCGGGATGCCATACAGATTCATGTCAAAAATACCGAACTATCCCTTTAAGTGTGCCATATCTGCAAATACATGTCGGAATTCACAGAAGAACCTCCATCCATCCATCCATCCTTTCTTCTATCAGGATCCTGAAGGGGCAGTGCCTATCTCCGGCAGTCTATGGGCGAAAGGTGGGGTACACCCTGGACAGGTCAAACAGTCATGTCTGTGGAATGTTGGAGGAGGCCAGACTACCCGGAGAGAACCCACGCATGCACGGGGAGAACATGCAAACTCCAAGTAGAATTGAACCCGGAACTTTGTTGCTGCAAGGCAACAGTGCTACAAACTGTGCCACTGTGCAGCCTAGTAGAACAAACTTAAATTGTAAAACTGGTCTTTGTGCTTTTTACGCATTCAAACCTGAGAACGACATTGATTATATGCACACATTCAACCTAAGCACTTTTTTTTATTTTCCAGAGTGATCCTTTTTTCTGTCTGTAGCAACAAACCTCATAAGGCAAACAAATCTAAATTAACACCACTGGAGAGCCTGGGTGGTCTCTAGAGGTTTGCTTTGTTTCATTTTTTACATGTGTCGCCTCCAAGACATGGCAGCAATATGGCAAAGATTTCCTCAACACACAGCTGCCACTCACATTCAAAAACAGAACCAGTCAGGTTGCATATCATATGCCATCTGACCATCCACCATCCTTAAAGAAAATAGTTTCACCTCATATAATGCCATCTGCACTGTCTATGTGACAGACAGAAATAGGTTTACAGTTTCATTTGGCTAGTGAGGAAGTAGGTAGGCAGTTTATGGGAGGGGTGACAGGAGTGGGGTAGAGCAGAAATTAGACATGCCTGTAATAGGGCTCCAAAAATAGAGAGATGAAAAAAAAACATGCGAAAGGGTGATGAACTCGGAGGAATCACACCCAGCAGATATACAGTCAGAAAGTTTTTTATTAAGAAAGTTCCTTATATAATCATTTATTTAGCCTTAAAGGACACACAGACACATGCACACCTGCATGTTAAATCTCAGGCAGCTGCAGGAATGTCATTCTGACACACAACATGCGTAACATTTCTGTTCACACCGAGATCTAATTCTCTCAGAGCATCAGTGAATGAATTCTGAACATTCCAAGCAGAGAAGGCCAAAATTCCTGATTAGGATGCTGGGAAAGTGAGTGGAATTCCACAGACACTGTCATCAAATCTCAAAAATCCCAAAACAGCTCTGAGTGTGTGTGTCAGTAACAGTACTTCAGTTTATGTATGAGTGCATGTGAAGGCCTGGGAAACTCAGGGATGCCAGTTGGCAGCTGCATGTAGGTGGAGGACCAACAATATGACCGGTTGTGTGTGTTTGTGTGTGTGTGAGAGAGACTTAATGGCAAGGAGGGTGAATGGTGAGACTGACTCTGTCACAGAATGCGTAGCAGCCCTCTCATGGTAACGATAAACCAACAGGATCTGGTCGACCCTGATCGGACACACCCCTTGACGAAGAAGCTGGTAGAAGAAGAGCAGATCCTCTGGGACACCCTGAAGAGCGAGCAGAGAAAATTGGATCTAGTTAGTGAAGGTACAGTATGTCCTGTCAGAGGTGAAACCTGTTTAGTTTGAAATAACAGAGTTTATATATTGCAACTGTATTTAATTAATTGCACACTGAAGAAAAAAAAAAAAAAACTTTAATTGCATTACCCCTTAATTTGAGCAGATAAATAAGTTGCTCTGTCAATGGAATGAGTATTTTTACTCTTAAAATATGATAATTAGATAATATGCACCTGAAATAAGATAATGCTTTTTTTCCTTATTTTAAATGTAAATTGACTTGTTCCATTGGCAAAGTGTCTCACTTACCTCCTGAATTCAATAAAAAATGCCTTATTTAGATTTATATTTTTTGTAGTGTAATAGTGATAACCCAAAGTTTGCTTAATATTGCATTACATTACACTTTTTACATGCATCAATATGCAATATGTAAGGAAATAAAGTTAAATAAATGAAAAATGTATTCTGTCATGTATTTACATATGAACAACCCTGGTTTTGCAGATAAAGTTAATAAAATGTGTATTGTTTAGCTGCATCAGGGCAAAAGTTAGCTTTAGCATTGGTGTTTTTATCTGTTAGAAATGATCATATGGCCATATTAGACAGAAACTTCAATGCTTCACTCAGAGACTGAGTGGACTGTAGAGGTTAAATACTATTTGGCTAAAATAGATAAAAGGTCAGGTCAGTTTACTGCTAATCCTGCATTTCGCATGAGGGGGTGAGTAAATCTTTAGCGGTCCATACAGCGGATCTGCATGGCGTCACATGAAGTTGAATTTATTTCTTTTTTTACTCAGAAATCATCATTTAAAAAAAAAGCATAAATTCCAACTGGGAAAGTCAGAGTTCGTCAGGTAGACTTATATCTATTATAAAACATGGCTGCCATATATTTTAACTATAGAGGGAGTCACATGAATAACAGTTTCTATTTTACACAGAGCTGTAAAATAGCCATTTGTGAACAAGTTTTGCAAGTGGTATTATTAACAAAATAAGAGAAATATATATTGTCAATGGCTTTTATTACCAACATTATTTCATGCCACAATAAATAGCCCATCCCACTTTTATCTGACTGACATCTGGAATGTTCTCAGTTTGGGGATCATGTCATTCTCACTTCCAAGCTCCAGTTTCCGAGACAAACTGAGCACAGTCTAAATAAGGATGAAGCCTGCCTGGCACACACTTTCATATCAGTTATTTCTGTGTGCAAATTATTATGGGGAATTATTTTAACGTATTAAAGAAAACCATGACAAAAACAAAATACTGAGATAAGACATAAAAAACACTATACTAATGGAAATTTGCGAAAAATGTCAGACTAAAGAACTACAATATAAAGAAATTCATATGGTGTGCCACAATGATCTTTGATACAAAAAGAACCTTTTTAAACATTTTTATAGTGTTTAACTAATTAATAGTAGTCTTATTAGTAGTGTCGTAAACTACAATCTGTGATCGCTAAATTCATGGAGATACAAAGAAATGGTGTGTGTTGAATTGTCTTTTATTAATTAACTTATTCAAATAATTTATCATTACCAATGAATGTAACAAACTATGTATATTTTTTATGAGAACAAAATCACTTTAATATTTTTAAGTATTCTGTAAAGATACCTTCAATGTCTCAGATAGCCATGGTGCACATCTACAAATAGAAAAGATATAAGGGTATCTGGATGTTGATGACAGTATCCCATGTGGACATATTTTTATATATTAACCAGGGATGAAATTCAATTAAGAAATCGATATTATTGCAGCAACTTCAGGAAACAAATAAAAAGCATCTGACAGGCTGAGGTCGGCCTGTTTCTTATCTCGCTCGTGGAAACAGAAGGGATCTGTTCAGATCAAATAGTACTCCTTTAAATATATTAAAGGGAAAAAAAGAGGGAAAAAATTATATAGAAAAACATATTCAAAAAATAACCTCACAAACACTAATAGCAGTAATCTGTAAAGCGATCAACAAAAAATAGTGGCATTCTCACCTCGTGTGACATTTCAACGGGTGAGTAATATGCCCAATTAAAAATCTCCACCCAGATTTAGCTGACCCATACATCCACAAATAATCAGTTAAAAATCATATCAGCTCTAGACTCTGACAAATAAACCCCAAGTTAACTTTCTGATTGGCTCCTACAAATCTATAAGATAAGTAAAACATTTCACTTTGGGCCTTCGGATGCTCTTTTTACACCCTCTTTTGTTTTTGCCAGTTAGCTATTTTAGTCAAAATATCTTTATTCACAAATTTCAGGAGTGTGTATTCTGTGCGTTAGAAATGGGAAAACTCCGAAAATCTCTTCATAATAAAACACATTGGCTTTATTAAAAAATGCACTACGTGTTCAGAATATAAAATGCTTCATGCATCAAGTGCTAACTAGATTTACAAGCAGTTTAAAGAATGATGTGAGTGAAATTTCACCTTGCCACCTTCGTCAAACAATCCAACTTTCAAGAACAACTTTCTAGGGCAGAACCATGTTGGCATGACGACCGTGGGCCCATTGGAGGTGTATACCTGATAGGACAGACCAATAACAGATATAATAACAATGACACGTTAGACAAACACAAAAACAGGAGATTTCTTTTTTAAGAATTTGCGATAACAATGATTCTGTGGTTGAGAAGTTGCTAAATGAAACAAGACTGTCGCTATTTCATCTGCAGAAAAAACATTCCTGTTTCAGAAGGAAAACTTTTTTTTTTCCTATATCAGGATTATGAAACAATGTGTTATATTCCTGAACACCATAAAAACTTGGTAAAGGAGTGTCTTAACGTACGGAATGATCAGCCACCATCCATCCAAAGAAACTAGGCAGAAGAATGAACATTACTGTAGTTTTGATCACTTGATCATTTCCATTTACACAGTGTAATATACAATAAAAGGTACTTAAACTAAATGAACTGACTCGCCTTTGGAAAAGACATCAGAATTCATAATTTAAGTACATTTTGGACTAAATACAAATTAATATCTTCTGGATTAAATTGTCTGTCTATTATTGTCTTTTTTGTCATTAGAGGCCTTTTTTTTCAATAAAGGCTGACAGAAATAAGAGGGGTGGGAGACACCTAGCAAAGGTCAACAGGTTGAGACTTGAATCTTTGGCAGACGCTTCAAGGACTAAGGCCTCGAAAGATGTGTTGCATGCTAAACCAGCCATTTTATCTCCATTTATCCCAGGTAAGATGATTCTGATACTTTTTCCAATTTGGCTTTGACTTACCAAAAGGAATACAAACATTTTAGACCATATCCTGAGTTAATCTGTTACTGGTGCCCTAAAGCACTGCCTGCTTATGTGAATCCCCCCAACTCTTAAAGAGGTCACACTTCACAAACCTCTAAAGACAACAAATATACCTAAAGCATATTGTGCAACGCGTAATACATTTTTATTAGGGTTTTTGAATTGATTTACATAAAGAACAACATTTCAACTAAAGTTTGATCCACAGCGATATGTCAGTACTGTATACTGACAAGTAGAGTTCAGAGTTAAAGCTGTAATTAGATTCTTGTAATGATTGGTTTGGAGCTGACAGCGTCCGCTTTCATGAGATAAAATGTGGTCTGTCAATTGAGATAACAGGAACCTAACAGCAGGCTTGGGGTGAAACCCAGCTTACCCAGAGCACTCATGACACTACTCATATATGATTTGTTCTGTCACCACCTTTAGTAAATAAAGAACATCTCCTTTAGTTGACTTACAGCTCAAGTGTACCACATATGTTTAAAATCATAAAGCATTTTGTAGAAAATCTCTCCAAAATCTAACATTGTTATATGAGTATTGGGAAGATTGACAGACCATAACAGCTGTGGGCTCATCTTCATGGCTACTTATTTATTTGCATCATGACTGGCTTGGTATGATGTTATGAAGATGGATGCATTTTGTTGCCAGATATAAAACATTTCAAACTGTCCACTTGTATTGAAATTAGCACTTATGTTCGTGCTGCACTTGAACACAAAGGTTTCATCAAAGAATTCAGCCACATAGAGAAGTAGTTACTTAAAATGGTAATGTTAGTTGACAAAGTACACTACTGGTCTACACACTGAAGTGACCACAGTATTATATCAGACGGCTGAATAGTTTCCCAGGGTGGTAAAGAGTTTCAATCAACCTAAAGTCTGATGCAAAACACCCGTCAGAAGATGCTAACCTTTCCGCTCACAGGGGGGGGACATATCTACTTTAATCTTTAAAACGAATCAGACATGCATATACTCTCTTACAGCGTAAAGAGAAAACATTCCCATTCTCACACATGATCTACCACTTACTTGTGTTTTTGCTTTTCTTCTCTCAAACTACCTCATGGAAAACAACCTCAATATTTTCCCTCCTTTCCCTGCACCCGCCTCATCTCCTTTATCCTTTCCTCTATGTGTTTTCTAATATTTTCACCCCATGAACCAGAAGATCATGTCAAACGGATCATTTTCTGCTTCTAACTGCATCTCTAATTTCCACACAGCATGCCCATATGGGCACATGTGTGTGTTGGGGCATGCATGGGACATTTTACGGAGCGAATACGCTGCTAGAGCAATCCAGAAACGTATCGCAGATGTAGAAAACTGTGCCAAACATCTGGTTCCAACCACTAACAACAGCTGGACTAAATCTTATCTGGATAGTGTGTGTGAGTGGTGGTGGGCGGGGTAGGGTAGTGGGCTATGTTTCCACCTACACGCTTCTTTCTTTTGCCTGTCTGTTGTAACATTGCAACATTTCTCAGCTGTAAGCTGAGGCCAAATCATGAATAAGAAGAATAAGAATGAGTTCTGGGAAAACAGCAGCCGCAGTAGGAGGCTGACTGTGACTAATCAGGAGGGTAGGAGGGTTTTTTGGGTAGTCATATATAAGGTTATATGTATGAAGCAACACTAGATTTTTGTGGTTTAAGGTAGTAATGTGAAGCAGAATATATTGAAAGCAGGAAAAACGGAGCAGCACCTAATCTTGAGAATCCGGGTATGATCTCACTCTCATGCTCCATGAAACCTAATATCATGTCTGTTGAGTACTTATGCAGACGGTGACACTGTGCATGAATGCTACAAAATAAAAGTGACTTCAGGTTTTCTTGTATCCAAGGCTACAGTGTGTTTTCTTAAATCAGAACAAGGAGACCTTTCTTTCAACATAAAAAAGATATTCACTACCGTTCAAAAGTTTGGGGTCACATTGAAATGTCCTTATTTTTGAAGGAAAAGCTTTGTACTTTTCAATGAAGATAACTTTAAACTAGTCTTAACTTTAAAGAAATACACTCTATACATTGCTAATGTAGTAAATTACTATTCTAGCTGCAAATGTCTGGTTTTTGGTGCAATATCTACATAGGTGTATAGAGGCCCATTTCCAGCAACTATCACTCCAGGGTTCTAATGGTGCAATGTGTTTGCTCATAGGCTCTGAAGGCTAATTGATGATTAGAAAACCCTTGTGCAATCATGTTCACACATCTGAGCAGATTCAGTTTCTGGAGCATCACATTTGTGGGGTCAATTAAACGCTCAAAATGGCCAGAAAAAGAATTCTCATTTAAAACTCGACAGTCTATTCTTGTTCTTAGAAATGAAGGCTATTCCATGCGAGAAATTGCTAAGAAATTGAAGATTTCCTACAATGGTGTGTACTACTCCCTTCAGAGGACAGCACAAACAGGCTCTAACCAGAGTAGAAAAAGAAGTGGGAGACTGCGTTGCACAACTGAGCAAGAAGATAAGTACATTAGACTCTAGTTTGAGAAACAGACGCCTCACAGGTCCCCAAATGGCATCTTCATTAAATAGTACCCGCAAAACACCAGTGTCAACATCTACAGTGAAGAGGCAGCTGCGGGATTCTGGGCTTCAGGGCAGAGTGGCAAAGAATAAGCCATATCTGAGACTGGCCAATAAAAGAAAAAGAATAAGATGGGCAAAAGAAAACAGACTTTGGACAGAGGAAGACTGGAAAAAAAGTGTTGTGGATGGATGAATCCAAGTTTGAGGTGTTTGGATCACAAAGAAGAACGTTTGTGAGATGCAGAACAAATGAAAAGATGCTGGAAGAATGCCTGACCCCATCTGTTAAGCATGGTGGAGGTAATGTGATGGTCTGGGGTTGCTTTGGTGCTGGTAAGGTGGGAGATTTGTACGAGTAAAAGGGATTCTGAATAAGGAAGGCTATCACTCCATTTTGCAACGCCATGCCATACCCAGTAGACAGCGCTTGACTGGAGCCAACTTCATCCTACAACAGGCCTGAACACCTGAACACATTTACAAATTGTGCAAGAACTATTTAGAGCAGAAGCAGGCAGCTGGTATTCTATCGGTAATGGAGTGGCCAGAGCAGTCACCAGATCTGAACCCCATTGAGCTGTTGTGGGAGCAGCTTGACCATATGGTACGCAAGAAGTGCCCATCCAAGCAATCCAACTGGTGGGAGCTGCTTCTGGAAGCGTGGGGACTCTAAACTTTCTGCTTCTGAATGAAGACAAAATAGTCCTGTTTCTCTGACTGTGACTGGCTGGATGTGCTCTCTTCGTCCTTTGACATGGGAGCTGGCTGGGAACTAATCTGCCTGGACCACCTGTGGTTTACAGTTGCCTTTTGTAGATGGCCGCTTACGTTGTCATGTTGTGCTGGAGGTTTCTTCCTGTTTAAACTGAGTTTTTCCTCTCCACTGTCGCAACAAGCATGCTAGGTGTGAGGGATTGCCTTCGAGTCAATGAGTTGATGCAATCAACTGGTTTTCCTTAGATAGAAAACTAAAACTAAAAAACAATTTGTCTGTATGACCTGGTTGAATTGTAAAGTGCCTTGAGATGACATGTTGTGAATTGGTGCTATATATATAAACTGAATTAATTTGGACAATATTAGGTATCTAATGAAGTGCAATGCATTCAGGCTTTATGTTTAATATTGATTGTGTAGAAAAGGAGTAGAAACTAAAGAGTTGGTCAGTTAGTAAGGTCAATTAGAAGTAAAAATTGTTTTAATTTTCAAAAACAGCAGACATCAACCAGAAGGAATCAATTCAATAAAACCTTGTTGTTGGGATGGAATAAAAAATATCTTCCCAAAAAAGCTGCATTAATTATTACCTGGAGTCAATTTTTTTCTGTGAGGCCTAAAGCAAAAAGTTATTTTCTCTTTTATTATTTGTTTATTTCCCGTCATATGTTTGAAACCATATCAACCACTATGATCTCATAAAACATGTTTTCTTAATGTCTTTTAGGATTAACTGATCAGAAAGCATGTATCACTCTAGGCCTTTTATGCCAGTAGCCAGAGCTCCTTGGGGACCCCCTCAGCCCAAAATGTGACAGGGGTACCTCATAAAGAAATTCCTCCCAGCTGCAGTCAAAGCAGATGTTCCCCTGCTGCATCCAGAGAATGAACAAGCTGTGCATCTGTGAACCCACTGCTGGCTGATTCCCTTAGACAGGGCTGGGATTTATAAGGAAAAAGATAGATACAATAAAATAATTCCTCCCTTACTGTTTTGATTTGGGTCAATTTTGTTTATGCAGACTATTAATAAAATGCTTAAATAGTTTTGGTTAAAAATGTTTGTTTTTCATTTTGACTTGTGTCTTCTAACTAGGTGAGAAGGCTATGCTTAAGACCAGATTTAATAAAAATTACAAAAACAAATACATAAGTAAATAAAAAATGTATACATAAAACAGAATAAGAGATTTTTTTAAGAGATAAATTTAGCAAGCCTTAAATTCTGATAAAACAAGAGAGTTGTCAATGAGATGCCAAAAAAAACAACATAAAAACCAGAATTAACAAGATAAACATTTTCTATAATATATAAAATGCAGCATAGGTATGAGAAACTAGACTGTTTATTAAAATGTATCATTAATTGTGTATGAATTATGTCTTATATGTTTTACTTTGTCACCTTGTCTCTCCTCCTGTCCAAATAATGGTCCAACCAAAATAGACCACGGCTTTACCTCGGCCAAAACTATGCAGACATATTTGCAGTGAATCGCAGCCGATCTGACCAACCACATGCATTTCGATAAGATGTTTTTTTCTTAGCACGATTACTACATACTATCGGATTTACTGTCTAATCACATGCTAAATCATTAATGGTGTGTACTTGCCTTAAAAACAGTCAGTAGCTACTAGAGGTGTCCCAATACAACTGTTTCATATCTGATACTATACAATATTGATATTGCAGCTTTGACTATTGGCTGACATCAATGTTGACTTAATACAATATAAGTTTGAATGATACATACTTTTTTTTTTTTTATATGGACAAGGCCTTGTCCATATAAGACTCAAACTCACTGCGGATCCAGACATTTGAATTGAGAAAACTTCCTGGAGAGGTGGCGAAACGTCTTCAAATCTTGAAAACCAAGTCCAGTGGATATTTTTTTAATTTTTACGGAATGACTATGACCTGGATGACTGAGAACCTTCATCAGCACGATACATACTTTTATGACTCATTTTGCCATACTGAAAATACTGTAGAAAAGACTTCAATTAATTTTCAGTGATCAATTATTAACCAATGGGTTACATCAAATATAAGCAGGAGCAAAGTGTTTCTATCATTATGCTGACATCAGTTTTAAATGCAGGTCAATCATTTTTTTGTCTGAATTTATAAATCAGGAAGGCTGTGAAATAACAACACCATGCTGTCTTACAGATGCGCTGTAACAATATGTAAAATCCTAAAAACATTTTTGATTGTTTACAACAGTAAGGCTCTGGTTATTGTACTAAAGCATTTTAATTTATCTACGAACTAAAAGCAGCATGTTTGAATTATGTTAACTCTAGCTCTAAAACATTAATCAGAATAGGTTAAAACAGGCATTGCTAGGTCAGAGGTGTTTTAAAAATGGAGATTGAAATAGAATGTAAATAGTTCCAGGGTTCTGTGTTCTACTGATTCTCTTCCAAAGGTGGCTGTTGTTGACAGGTGGGCGTGGCCCCACACATGCCGCTCATTGGGGCTGCTCTGACTGGAGCTTAAGAGGAGCTTTCAGTCAGCTGAAGGATGCCAGAGTGTTAGCACAATGTGGTACGCCTAGGCCTCTGTCCTGTTGACAGATCTTCGTTCCTGTTAGTTTAAGTTTAAGGTTTTGGATTTCTGGTTCTAACTTGTCTCCTGTCTCCCTCTGTTGGTATGAACCCTCAGTTCGTTGTCCTCTTGATTACTCACCCGTCTGTTTCCGTGCACTGAAGACTGGTTCCTGAATCCCTGATTCTGCTCTGGCGTTCCCCTCAAGCCCCCTCTGTGCTACCGAGCAAGAGAACCTCCTTCCTGGATCAACTCTTGTTCCTTCACCTGCTCCTCGAACCTGCCTCCGCTGTGGTACTGCTTGGACCACCGCCTAATTTCCATCCGCTAGCTCACCTGTCGCTCAGCCATCTCCTCCCCTCAGAAAGCTGTGAGCTACAGAACCCTTTCCTCCACTCACCCTCCTCGGATAGGTTATCCCTACCTGGCGGTAGGCGAAGCAGCAACAACACAGTTCTCCCTAACTTTCTTAGTATTAATCAGTTTCCACTTTCCTTCCGCAGAGCCCCAAACGCTGACATTCTGAACCTTGCCTTCGACTCTCATTGTGAACTCTTCATATTTGTGTGTAGTCTAAATAAACATCTTAAACTGCTCCTTGTTCTCCGTCTGTGTCTGCATATGGGCCAAACACCTAAAAACCATGACGAAACAGTTAATTTCCATTTTACAGGTCTAATCATTTGTAAAATGATTAGAGTGACTGGGGAAGCAGCCTCAGCAGAGTCTCCCAGACTTTCCTCTCCACAGACACCTCCTCCAGATCTACTGCGGGAAGCCTGAGGCATCCCAGGTCAGCTGAGAGATATAGTCCCTCAAGCTTGTCCTGGGTTGTCCTCCTGGTCCTCCTCCCGATGGAACGTGGCTGGAAAACTTCTCCAGGGAGGTATCCGAAAAAGATGTCAGCATCTGCATTACAGCAGCAGCTGTACTGATCTGTCTATCGATCTCCCACTCCACTTTCTCCTCATTTGTGAACACAACTCAAAGATATTTGAGGCAGTAGCTCTCCTCCAACCTGAACGGGACACCTCCCTTTATCCAGTCGTAAAGTTCATTAGCTCTAATCAACCATAACGGATATCTGGAAAATGTATGTAGTGCCCAATATAACACTGCTCTGTCCACGTGGAAATGCAAGTCAGAGAGAAAAAAAAAGCTCCAACAAACACAGGATAATTTCACCAGTGACATAGTCAGGCACAGCATTAGCTGAGGCATTTGGTGCCTTTTCATCAAACCTTAGAGCAAAGACAACAGACACAATGGTTTGATACATCAAGTCAATCAAGTTATTTTGAGACAATAACATATAAATCAATGTTGAAGCTTTTCGCAAATACAAAACGAATGTGCCCTATGGCAGCACTTTGCCTTGGTGGAGTTTATTACTACACATGTTTTTCAATAATTCAGCAAATAATCTATTTTCTAAGCTAAGCATAAGCAAAAAACTATAACAAGAAACAGAAGATTTGTTTGTTTTCTTCATACAAACGAGCACTAGAGTTTTAAGCTCCTTATTAGGTCAGCAACAGGCCATTGCCCTTCATTAACCTGATTTCAAGCCTCTTTTTACAGCTTTTGAAATATAACCAAATTTTGTTTCACCCTCTACATACTTTGGGATAATTGTACCTGAATTGCACGTTCCCCTCTGACATTTTGCAGTGAGAGGCTGCTGCTCCTGCAGTTAAGGGGCAGTTGCTGACAAGCCTCCTTGATTGATTGAAAGGTAGTATTAGTTGTAAGACTCTGCCCTGCTTTAGATTCCAATACAAATCTGCACTCTTTTTTTTTTTTATAGCTCTTCAACATACTCAAAGCCTTGGATTTATAGGGTATAATAAAGTTTTTGATCTGCAGTGTCTTGAAGCTGTCCTGCTGGTGCCTTGCAGCAAGGAGATCCTAAATTAAAATCCCGGCCTGGAATCTCTCTGCATAGGTTTTTGGTGTTCTCTCCATGCATATGCAGGTTCTCTTGGGGAACTCAAGTTTTCTTCCTGGGTTATTAAGTTAAATATGAAATTCAGGAAAGAGGAAATAGAAGCCAAATAACAGCTTATAGGAATAACTCCACTCGAAAAAACCTAAGCAAAACTCTTTTACATTTCTCATTTTCCTTTCTATAACTATTTAGAGAAAGCCTCTGGTGTGAGTTTCATTTGTTCAAACTAATATTTCCACACAGATCGAACTTGATGTCTGCTACAGGATCATTTGGAACAAAAACTTTCATAGAAAGATCACAGGGTTTTTGTCAGCAAATATGTTTTGTTCCATCAGCATCCACCCCCCTTCCACTGAGAGTGAGCTATTTCCCCTGCATGGGCTCTGAGGTCAGTAGTGATCCCGCCTCCACCCTCCCATCCTTTGACACATTTCCGCACAAAACTGCGAGCTACGCATGTGTATCCTGTTCCTGTCCGACCTAGTAACTGCCTGACAAGCGACCTCTCACCCACGTACAAACCACAAGCATTAATGGACAAACCGTATCCGTTTACCTGAGTGATGAGCTGATCCTGAGTCAGTGAGTTGATCCAGCGGGTATAGCGCGCCGTAGATCCTTCTGGCAGCCTCTGAACTCTGCAGCCAATGAGCTATTAAGAAAACACAGATACATACCTTCATCAGAGTAATGAATATGTTTGATTTGACAGCTTTGTCTGTGAAGCTTTTATTGCATAGGAAAACAAAACATGAGCTGCTGTATGTGCTATCGGGAGCTATTTTTTTTCACATTTTCTTTATAAATGTAGCAATTAATACTTATGATAATAGCCAGACAAAAAAAATGCATATCTGTTAGTTGAAGTTTATAAAAGATGTTTAAATATGTTGCATAAAACAAAACTTAACAGTCTGACGTTAGATCTGAGGACCTTTTCCTGCTTTGGGACAGTTAGAATTACCAGCATTACCTCTGTTTACTTAAAGCTAGAATAAGTAGATTATTTTAGGGATGCACCAAAAAGTTTCAGTTGTAAAGACCGAAAAGTTAATTTTCGGATTTTAGTCAACAAACATTTAACTCCAAATCAACATGGCCGAAAACTTGTGATGACTTGACAAACTGCACATCAGGCACAGGGGGAAAAGGATTGCAAGCAAACAGCACAGCCAGAATGCAGAAACATTGTTGAACCTGAGAAGTAAAGCACCTCAAGCAAGAGAGCGCAGGTAGTGGGGTAGAGTTAAGCGTGTGGAGTTTACACATCATAACCAAAAACGCTATAATTTTAATATTTAACATAATAACTTATCTTGGTGTTTTAGTTTTCGGTTTTCAGTCTTGGTTTTCATTTCGGTTTCATTTTCTTGACTTTTCATTCCGGTGCACCCCCTGATTATTTTCTAGATTTTTCATTTTAGTTTCTTAGAATGTAGAAATTCAGAAAGAAAAACCCTTAATTTTCTTAACTGTATAACTTGCATCAAATAATTTTAACCATTAATACTTGACCAAATGATTTGAATCATCTTCAACATGCTTATCCCAATAGTTTTATAACTTATGACCAAGTCCTCCAGACAGCTGTTGTTACTAAGCCTTGCCACAGATGACCTTTAATTTTGCAGAGTAATTCTTGTTGGCTTAACATCGTGGTTTTTTTAATGACCACTGTAAAATACTAACCTGATTGATTGATCAGTATATTAACCAACAGTATATTGCTTAGTGTCTATGTAAAATAAAACCAATGTTTGTACTCGTCTTTGTCCTATTTCTAAAAGTAGTAATTGCCAATTAAATATCAGTATTATTATGTGGAACTCTATTATGCTTCCTATATAAAAAATAATATCAGAGGTTTAGGCGCCATCTCGTGTTGTTATACTCCATAAAAGAAATAACAGCTGCTATTTGTACCTGAACTGCTTCAAAGGGTCATCAAAAATGAAAGAAGTAATATTACAGAAGTATTAGTAAAAGGAAACCCTCACATTTTCTTTTTCAGCCAGATGTGGCTATGAATCAGATTTTTTGATAGTTTACATACAGTCTCTGCTTGTCGATTTTTCCAGCAGTTTTCAGAACTCATGTCACAGAAAATTTAGTTTTATAAAAGAAAAAAAGTTTTTTGTTGATTAAATGTATTATACTTCAGAATTAAATTTTATTTTCAGATGCTGACGATGGTTCCACAAATCAAAACACTCTCCTGCTTCTTTACAGTCAGCAGTTTTAGCCTGTTTTAGAGAGAAGGCGGAACTTAAGGCAGAACAATCAATGAGGGTGGAGTTAAACAGCGCAGCGGGTATAACAGGGTATAACAGCAGCAGCAGCAGCTACCAGGCAGCGAAGCTGCTAGAGGAGCGACTGTTGCAACAATGCTGGATTGTAAATGACATGTTATTCACATAGAATTATTGGCAGGGACAGCTCCCTATGGTCCCTATGCAAAACTACGCCCATGCAGGTTCAAACACATTGAAAGGCGTTTTTTCATCCCACCGAAATATCTTTATCCTTTTCCTATCTCTGTTTTTTTGCTCCGGACAGCTATTTTTCTGGCGCTCCATCTTGTTGTCAAGTGCACCACGAGTGACAGTTTGATAAAAAAAAAAGAAACATAAAAAGCATGCCTGGGTGCGTTCGCTTAGGGGTTTGTGCCAAAGCCACCTGTGTGGGAAGGGAGAGCGATAGGAGGGGAGGTGAAGGATCAGGGGGGCGCGTAATCAGTGCCGTCACTCTGTTATTGATCATTTTATGTTGTTAAGTATAGAAAATGCCAACTAGAAAAATAATTTTTTCTAGTTGGGGTTTTGATTCCCCTATGTGTCGCATACACTGCATACCCACTTTTTGCGCCACTGCCACTTCATGGCATGTTTGGAAACAATCATCTGATTCTGAATTTTAACAAAAACAAAGGAGATAATTGTAGATTTCACCAGAAATAGGGACAGATCAAAAACTATTACCATTCTGGGAGAAGTGGTGGTGAAAGAGTATAACTACAGGGACAATAAACAACATTTTTTTTTATTATTATTCTTTTATTGACCATTTAGCCGTGACCCACTTTAAGTAATTCTATCAAGAAACAGACTGAAAAAAAATTATTAAAGTTGTGCCTTTGAATCATAAAGGAATTCAATTGAAAAAACTTTGTTAGTCATATCTAGCAAATCCAAACAGGGCTCATCCCATCATACTTATTATATGCAAACATTCACAGAACAATATGCCTATTGGTGCCCTGGTGCAGAAATATACATGACAATTGGAAGCTGGGTTTGAAACCACCACTTTGAGTTTGCAGGGTGAATATTCTCCCCACTGAGCCATGGAAAAAAAAAAAGAAAGAAAGCAGAGTCTTTATTCTAATGTATAGCAAACACAAATTATTTGGGTAATCCTCACTTAAAACCTGAAAGGTTTAGTGTGATCTATTGTAAGCAAAATGGTTGAGAAATATAAAAAGATAATTTTTTCTTTATCCAAGTATGAAAAAAAAAAAAAACATGGTTTCAACTATATGTTGAGAATGAAAAATTACAGTGATAGCATTAATGTCATAGTGTTTGTACAGGGGAGCCAGCCTGCTGTCTCCGTGTCGTCTTACTCATTTCCCCTCACACACGCGACCTTTGACCTCTGACCTGGCAGGTCAAATAAAGCATCAACACCGGATACGCTCATGATTCTGCGTGCCAAATGCATATATATACAGCCATAGAAATGTGCTCAGTATTGCAGTGGACAAGAATAAGTTTCTATTTCAACAGAGAGAAGAGGAAAGAGGGGAAGATGTAGGGAAGAAGAAGAGAAGCAAAGTTGAGCAAAGTTGAAGAAAGGAAAGGAAGGAAGGAAGTGAATAAGTAATGACTGCAGCAAAAAATAAATAAATAAAAGGAAACCAAAATACATACAGAGTTCGGATGAAGAAGAGCTTTTTCATACTGGAGACGAACTCTCTGAGGCAACATAATGTCATCCTGCAACAGAAGGCAAATAACGGAAAACAAATCATAATTTCTCAACTTCTGCAGCAGGAAACAGGCTCCCCCTTCTAAATATAACTTCAGGTTCTAATCATCCTGTATTTTTTGTATTTATGAAATGATAAAAGTTTTCAAACTTCAGATGTTGGAAGGGCCATCAAAAATCCCCCTGCCTGTGCACTGACACACATAGTGCTCTGGAAACCATTGATTTTGCACACCTACAAACAAAGTACAACCTTGCTGCTTCCACGGTATTTGAAATACAAAACAGCAAACAGGGGTTGCTAATTTATTTCCCTTGAATGACTGATCGTCAGTATTGCGACTGCTGCTTTAGAGCAGGAATTTTACGGCTTTGCTGCTCCTGTGAACACAGAACATGAGTACAGGCAGAGAGAAAACACATTAGACATGCCCTAGGAGAAGCACCTGCTGCTGCACATTCATTTTGGAAAGGTTAGAAAAACACTATGAAATGTTTCAAAATATTGTCAATTATTTAAAGAATTGAGAGCCCATGCAATGCTCAGAAAGACTGCAAGACCCAGTTAGCCTGCTACATGCTAAAGGTCATATGTTTAGAAAAAGACTGAAGAATCTTCCTTCAGGGTGTGAAAGAGTTTTAAGAATATAGCATTACAGCGTTACCTCTAGAAAAAGGTTTTTAAAGGAAGTAGACTAAGGTGGGGACAGCAACAACATGAAGCATCATGTGTATTGAAAACCAAATAAAGCACTCTAGGAGAAACAGCTCTCACCAACTAATAGTGATGAAGAAGGTTTAATATTTTTGGTTGTTTTTTGGTGCTACAGCGCCCAAACACCTTGGCCCTGTTTCTAATTGTGGCTTAACTTAGTCAAAGGAGAGAGCAGTTAGCCTGCGGCGGCCTTGTTATATCAATGATTTTTGGGTTTCAGAACAGGTAATATATACAAGGTAATTCAAGTCTGAGTCAAGTCATGCAAGAGTGTACAGGAAGTACGAGCATAATAAGAAGCCCTCCACAATGGAACACAGAAATCTCAATCGTCCATGTTAAGAAGAGAAAACAAAAAGCTTCAAATTTCAGAGTTTCTCGCAAGCGGAACTTTAAATATCATTCAAAGGATCTGGAGATTCTCAAAACATATTTAACAAAAAACTGATATCGTTTCTGCTGCAATATGGTCATATACTGTAGTAGAAAGAGTCAAAGCTATATCCTCATAACTGCACTTATATAACATGAAATAAGTCTGTGAGCAATAGCTTTGTTTAGGTCTAACCCTGCTGGGTTGCACCTTGACACAGGAAATATGACTTGCCGTGTTTAGGTACTTTCTATCTGTGTCCTACTGTCACACTTTAATCTCACATCCCTGTAGCCTTTAGCATAAAAAAGTGCAGCATAAAGACCTTGTTCTTGTATCATATGAGCAATCTGAAGCAGAAATGTAAAAAAATTAGATAAATTAATAATTATGGACCTGTTTTCAGATTAATCTGCATGTTTTTTAAGCCATAATAAGGTTTTTGTTGGGATACTATATAAGGCCTGGAACTCATGCAACTCCACACATTATTAATTGAAAAAGCTTCCTGGATGGAAAGCGAAATGTTTTCAAACTTGTAAAGCAAAGTCCAGTGGTTTGTTTTTAACTTTTTTGGAATAACTATGACCTGGATGACTGAGAATCTTTACCAGAGATAAATGATTGACTCTAGCTGAAACAGCGATGCTCAAATATCTATGAATCTGTAATTCAAAAAAGACAAATGTAAAGGTGGTCCTTGCTTTCCAACATCTACGGCTTCTCATGCAGAAGATACACCATCTCTGGCACTTATCTCATGTCAGGAATGTTACCTAACAAAGCTGGTTCATGGAGTGACTTGTGGGATTGACTCAACTAAGGATATCGGCATTCTGGAAGGTATATAAGGAACATGTAAAAGACTAAATAAAAAATAAGATTTAAAAGGACAAGAGGCAAATCTACGACTAGCAGAATCTGTAGCTAAAACAAAATTTTTTTGAGTTTTTTTTATTCTGTGTAAATAGAAAAAGAGTAAATAGAAACAAAGAAATTTGATTCTCAGGAATGCTATTTTAATGCACCTTACAATCTCATACCGTTTCCTCAATAACTACTATAACCAGACATGTGTTGAGACATTTAACGACATACAATGGGATTCTACAGGTTTGAGTTTTATATAAAAACTTTGTGTTGTGAAAGTTCCCTCAAACCAAACAAGGCTGGCTGAAAGCTGATCTTAATGTATATTTCAGTGAAATAAATCTAGTGCATTGGAACTAGTGTTTCCCTTAAGGACAGCTGGGTGACTGTGTGAGCCATACCTACCGCATCCTGAAAGCACAAGTATCGTCCACTACTCTGAGCCACAGCCTTATTCTTTGCAAAACCCACTGGAAGACAAAAAAGCACATCATGCTTGGGGGTCCAGGATAAAAGAAAAAAAAAAAGGATTACATAAAATTACCATTGCTAGAATAAAAACATTAAATCCAAAATTTTCAGAAAAAAAAATCATTCTGAAAAAATTGCAAACAGAATATGAAGACATAACGAAAATCTGAAACCAAAATCACCTCAAAAAGCCACTGAGCCTTCCTTACAGCACAGGCCCCTGTAGGCCACAGAATGAGTGAGAGAACACTAAGCTGAAATGATATAATCAGCTACTAGATAAACTGACCTCCTCTTGGTTGGGAGGAATCATGACCAGAGATCACCACTGAGATCCCTCTGTCTTCCATCCTCTGCCTCCAACTCTCCAGCACTTTCCTCGAGTCATCCTGAGTCATATGCACATAGATTAATTGTATCCCCAGCTGTAGATTACAGTTCATATGTATAAACATGCAAACAAACCAAAACCTAATTAAACATACTGTGCTTGCATCATCAAACACTGAGAGCTCCATGGAGCCAGCAAAATCTTGGTGAAATACAGCTTGCAGACACTCCTCCAGCCAACATGATGCATTGTGCACCGGCATGATAACACTCTGCAGTGAAAGAGGAAATGGTGAAAGTTCACAATCAGTACAAATACTTGATGTTGTGGCAACCAAAGAAAAACAGCAACCAAGGGCATCAGTATAAACCAGGGGGAAGGGAAGTGATCCTGAAGATGACTAAAAGCTTACTCTTACCACATAACCAGCAGCTTATAATCAGTAAACCCAGTAGTTTAGGTGGAATTGTCCAGCTTAAGGTTCATTAGTTTGGGACATTTGGAAATCAAGTGATTGTTGTTTTTTTCTTTCAATGTTGTGTATTGATATACATCAGTGACATTATATCATTGCAGAAGTTGGAAGCCTTAAAGACTATTTATTTATTTTAATCAGTGCAATGTGTCTATCACCCACCACATCCACTGTCTTCCTCTCCTCAGCCTCCCCTGGCTCTCCTCCTCCTCTCCTCTCTCCATCTTCCTCCGCTCTCCGGAGCCGCTTCGTTGGACTCGTGTCCATCACAGACCTCCCCTCCAGCTCATCCAAGTCCCCACTACTCTATTCCCTTCCAGCGGACGCCTCGCTTCAGCTTAGCTGCTCACATCTGACATGAAACCGGGACAATTTACAGTAGAGGGAGTGAGCCATTGAGCAAACACGTGTGTAAGAATGTCATTTAAAATGCATTTCAAAACAGATATAGCGATATTAACTGTATTTAGGGCGACAATGCATTAATACAACCTCTTTCGATTAGTTCGACTATAGCTTATATGCCATTTTATAAATTTTGATGAGATGGGATTTGTAAACATTACATTCCGTACTAACTTCCGCATTCGGTAAATCTAGATAGCTGATTGGCTGTAGCAAAACACGGACAGACGCCGGATTGGCTCAGTTTGCTTCCAGTTTTCTTCTTCTTGTTGAAATGTTTATGGCGGTTGGCAAATACGTTAGGTGACCATTACTGCCACCAACTGGTAGTTGTGTGAACCACATGGCAAAAAAACAAAAAACAAAACAAAAAAATCTGTTTCAAAAACTCAAATATAAACTGATATCCTCTGCTTCCTGATTCCTTTTGCAGTAAATCAACAAAGTCAAGTTTCATTTTCATATTACTAAGTTTCCTAATTAACTTGTTTCTCTGATTGAAAATTGTTCTTACAACTCAAAATAACATTATCCACTGTCTCATCTTCACCACAGTCACATTTCCCTGTCTGATGTTTCCCTAATAAAAACAATGACCTATTCAATCCTGTGTGTCCTATTCTAAGACATGAAATAATGATCTCCTGTTCCTCTCTTCGCATTTGTCCAATTACCTTTTGGATTTCATAGAACCCCCTTCCTTTCTTTTCTTCTTTCCATAACTTTTGCCACCTCTCTTTTGTTTTTTGTCTAATTATACCCTTTATTTCAGCCTATATCCCCAAAAATAACAGTTACAGACTGTGGATTGCTAAAAAATACATAAGTAAATTATATATAATTCTACTACTTATTTCATGCTACATTTATTTATTTCATGATATATTAGGGTCCTCCATGTAGCTCCGGGATCACATCTTTTGACCCCCACCCACACACACACACACACACACACAAACACATGCCCCCCTGAGGGGTCCCAAATTTTAGTTTAGAAACCCCTGATATAGAGCAACCCCCAAAAATATGTATTCATAGGAAAATGTTGTGTAGCTGTTTATTTGATTTTATTAGCATAATAATTAGCCCATTTTCACATTAGTAACCATAGGAAGGTTTTTAATTTAAAGATAAAGGGTAATCCTGGGTTGAGCCTGATGAGAGTATGCTATGTTAATATGAGTAAAGCTCCATTAAAAGTGTAATGTTTGTTATTATGCACAGCACTAATAATCATGTTTTCATGTCCTGCCTCCCACACATTGACAACTGGTGATAAGCACTGTAACTTGTTGAAGGACAGCTAATACTTTCACCCCTAAAAGTATAAAATAAATAAAGTTTCTTTTTAAACATTGATATGTTTATCAGTATCCTTTCTTTTTGCACACACCAAACCACACAATCCTTCTCATTTGGAAGTGTAGGGTTCAGATCATAACAAACCCTAGATAAATGCTGTGCAGATGAATATATCCAAATTCTGGGGTTGATTTCCACAGCCGACTAATTATTCCCACATTGTATCTTTCTCTGCCCTAGCTTTACATTAGTCTGTAAACCTCTTGATTTGGAAGATTGCCTCTCTACAGGCCAGTAAAAATGGCCCCAGGGTTATATAAATATTCAGATATACAGGATTATTGGTATTTTTTTTATTGATGCATTGGTATATCAAAGCTGCTCTTACAGAGCGTTAAGGGGCTGTTTACACTTTTGGCTTTTGTGAGTGTTTGAAACATTGTGTGAATAAACAAATTTCACTCATTTAGACTTGAAACAAGCCAGATATTAAATGTGGACTAGAGATGGATAACTGCACACAGCAACACATATTTGCCTCATGTACAATTATTTGAGAAGTTCAGACCGAGGTTAGCATTCAGATTGATGACATGGAGAGTTTTGTCCTGCAGGTTCATGATGTCTCTAATCCGTCTGTGGGCTCTTTTGCAATGTAAAATAATTTTACTCTTAAGACTGTTCCCCACAGTAACTCACAACTGATTTTTATGCTCTTCTCCTCCAAAAAAATTAATACCACATTACGAAGTTAATCACAAGTGTCTACACCAGTTGATTTCAATTAGCAAGAAGCGGATGGTGCAGCTGCTTTAAGCTGGGATCATGGCTGAGTTTTGGCACAAATTTGAGCCGTGAGAGTCAAACTGATAAATTAAGTGTGTGCATTTGTGAAGTCATGATCACATTTTCAGTAGTTTCTATTTACTCATTACTTCCAATTTTTATTGCATTAGTCAATGCAGGTGGTGGATGGATGGATGGATGGATGGATGGATGGATGGATGGATGGATGGATGGATGGATGGATGGATGGATGGATGGATGGATGGATGGATGGGAGCCTTAACTGTAATATCATTGTTTATCTCATCTGACAATTATGTATACCCACTAACCTATCGACCTTCTGGGAAAACGAATAGTGAACTTTTATTTGTTAGAAATATGTTTTTTGTCCATTCATGTAGTGTCTGTGCCCATGTGACCCCTTTCGTTCTAATCCTTAAGCATTATAAGTTCCTACTCTATGACCAACAGCTAGATACCTTTTTGTTAAGGGTTTTATTCCAGGTTATTTGTATGGAAATGCTGGTTAAAAAGATGAGGGCAGCAACAACCAGAATAGACAGTACATACTGCCATCTAGTGTTTACAGAGAGCAGGCAACCTAAGCATATTAATTTGACAAATAGCAATGGAGATTAGGCTCCCTCAATTAAAATCAGAAACTGATTCATATTCGACTGATTGGTTGGATGAAAAAATATATTATTTCAAAAAGTTGTGTCTATAAAACATTTAAAATGATTTTTCTCATATAACCGCAGGCACATTTATCTGCTGTATCTAAATGTGCTTGTTGGTGTCTGTCTCAGGACTGTTTTATTCTCTATGGCAGTAATGTCAACACTGCAAATTGTTATTCTAACATTGATGTACAGCTTATCATCCTCATCCAAGCTCTTACTCAGCAGCAGTTGGCTTTTACTACTGAAAGTTTAAATGTTATTATTATTTTTTTTTTTGATAGATCAACACAAAATGGTTATCAACAAAATGGAGGTAGAAAGAAAATCATACAATTTTTTACAAGTGATGTATGCATATCTAGGTCAATTTTTCAGATTTGTCCTTGGAAAGCGTACCAGAGGAAGGTACAGGTTTATTTTTGCAAATTAGTTCAAATGCAAAGAAACCAAGATCCAGCCACTTTCAGGTCTTTTCTCTTTTCATGATGGCCAGACTTCTGGGGTGCAAGGCTAAAAGATATCCCCATCATCTGATCCTCTTATCTGCACTGTGGATCTTGCCATCATTCCCAGTTACCTGGATCTTGGATGAATGCTAAAAAAAATTTCTGAAGAACTCAGAGAAAATCTGTGTTTATAGTGAAATAACATTTTAAACAGGTGGACAGTATATTTAAATCAGAGAATGAGTGAACACCGTTTGGTTGCACTTGATTTTATTTAGGAGTACCAGAGTAAATGGGGCAGATTCTAATGCACAGTAGATGTTTTTCCACATTTTTTTCTGTTAAGAAAAGTAGCCAAAGTGTTTATCTTTTTTCCTTAAAATACACCAATTAAATATTTTAAGTTTGTGTTTGCTACATGATAAAACATGGCTAACATAAATATCAAACTACTTGTGCACACAAGTAGTTTGATGTTACGTTCGTTGGGCTTTCAAGGCTGAAAAAGGAGAGACAATGGCTCTTGAATCCATAAAAACAGAAGAAACCATGAATGCAAACCCTAGCCGTTTATTTATATGATATTTCATAATACAAGATTATAACTTTCAATAGATACATATGTACTTTGTGTTTATAGGTAGGCATTACACATTCAAGTCCAGGTTCAGTGCAGTGATGAAGTGTCTAATGTGAATTATTCCAGATTCTCATCATTAAACTAGAAGTGAACAAAGAGCTTTACATCTGTTTGCATTTCTTTTAATTTATTTCTCAAATTTTCTCTTCTTACCTGCTCTTTCATCATCCATTTATATCTAAATTAATGTAAATAATCTCCCTGGATTATTTTTTTTCTGTAGTCAGACTCTATCAATTTGATTAATTTAGGATTAGTTCTCTTAAAGGAGTGAAAGACAATTATTCCAGAATTCCTCCATTGTGGTTGTAGGATTTTGGGTTATCAGGGGAAACATGCACTGATATAATTAGAGATCCAAGAAGATCCACATTTAGGTTGCAAATCAATTCAAAACTGGATTATCCCAGATTGTGAAGGGTCTATTTGCCAAAAATAATATAAACCTGAGTGAACTTAGAACCAGATGTTCACAGGAGTGCAAAATATAAAGGTAATGCACATTTTACTGAGTATTTAAGTCTTTACAAATTTCATAGATCTTTGAATTTTTGGTGTTCTTGAATATTTAAGATCATTGAACAACTCCTAATTTCAGGCATAAATAATCAGAGCTAATTCAAAAAGGAGTTTTTAGATGATTTTATCTACCAACCAAGCCTCACATGAAAACTGGCTGCACCTGTTGTAAAGCCTCAAATTAACTGTGGTAAATCCCTTAATTTTGGTTTAATTTCAATAGTAATATCAAAGCAGACACCAGTGTCTAATTGAATTTATCAAGAAAACAGGGAAAACAAAAAACCCTGATCCCAACGAAGTCAGTACACTGATCTAGACATATGAAGACCAAATATGCAACATAATTTATGAGGCCGAGTCAAGTTCCATGGTTTGCCTTCCCTAAGCTGTTTACTTGTGGATCTCCTTGGACCAAGAATCTGCTCTAGAGCTTCTTCAGTTGAAGCCTGCCTATTTTTAAACTCAGTCCTTTGGAAATGGGATTGTTTTTCCTTTTAAAGGCCTACCAGTAACTCCATCATGGTAAGCCAGTTTATTACATTCATTAGGTACAAGATACTGAAATCGCCTTTGCTAATTATTCTCTCCTGTTTCCAGAGGCCAGTCAATCCTGCATTTCAGAAGCTGGTTTTAATCCTTTCATTTTTTCAATAACACTTTTAATTGCTTACGTGAGTCCTTCTGGGGATTTCTGCATGTTGGCCAAAAAGACCCTAAATCCATGTTATAGTCAACTTTCAGATTTAAATACGATTTTAATTATTGACCATAAACTGACAAGTCATCGTAAAAAGTAAAAAATAAAATAAAATAAGGCTAAATTAGAAAACAATTCTAAGAATTGGTGTGATATCAATCACACCAATTCTAAAGCCAAGGAACTGGTTTTGGCTGAATTGATACAGCCAAGGAACTGGTTTTGGGAGTCATTATATATAATATAGAGTGGTTCAATCTGAAATATTGCCAGCAAAAATAAGCAAACATGAATGAAATCTGCAATGAAGTTAGATACTTTTCACGGCATTGCAAGTCATAATCTATGCAAAGGAAAGGGTGCATGGCTTTTGCCACATGTGATCTGTGCTTATATCATACAGTCTTGGGCAGAAACCTTAACACTGTTCAAAACATTTGGGAGAAAATCATATCCAGTTCTCAGAGTGTCAAAGGTTGGAGCCTTGAGAATAAAAGGCATTCATGCTTTTGTCGGTGAACAGCAGTAAGGATCCCAGTGAAGCTTGGGGGACAATCAAAGTGTGTCGCTTTAAGAAGGGAAACGTGTGTGTTGTCAGAGGGGGCTTGCAGCTGTCACAGTAGATGTAGAGAGGGATAAGAAAAAGTGGCTCACAAACTTTTCAGATACTGACTCTCAGTTTGTTATTGTGAACATGTGTGTTTATGCATCCTGAGGCACTCTGGAGTGCATGAATGAGTGAGTTCAGGTTTTATAGCAGCTGATGTGTCTTTAGACAGACACAATTTCATCATCTGGATCTATTATATCAACTTTTAAGTTAATGACATCAGTTCACACTCTTACGCAGTCTTTACAGTTGCTGACACATATCATTCCCTTCTGAGTACATTTCCCAATGCACAGCAGAGGCTGTGATGCATCAGTCTCAGAGGAAAGGGTTGTGGCTATACGTTTGTGTCTGAGTGTGTGGTGCCGGTCGAGGAGACAGAGGGAGCAGAGGCTGCGGGAGGTTAGAGGGAAGGTCCAAGATCCCAGAAGAAGGCTGTGTGAGGGAGGATGGCAGGACAGGCGGCTGGTGGAGCAGAGGAAGAGGCAACGACGGGCTGTAAGACAGCATGTGGGGGGGCAGCGGTGACGTAGAGGAGGGTCGCATTTGGTTGAGGGTGAGCCGTGGTTGGTCGCAGTGAAAAGGATTGGTGGGAGATGGTGCGCTCAGACCTGAGAGGACAAAATTTGGTTGGATACTCTGAATAAGGCAGGAATAAGTTAAGAACTAAGAAGCTGCAAAGTACCTGAGAGGAAGGGGTTGTTTTGCATCTTAGCAGGGGGCTTGGGGGGAATCAGAGTGTCCAAATTGACCAGCGAGGCCCCTGTGGGTCCCAGGAAGGTCTCTGGAGTCTGGCAAACACGAGCAGCTGGGGCGGCGAGAGGTGGCGCCAAGCAGGAGAGGTCAAACATCTCTGGACTGGCCGACATGCGACCGTTCACCTGGTGCTTTAATGACGGATCTGGTTTGAATGGATCTGAGCGGGGGTCTTGCTCAGGAAACAGTTCAAACTCTGTTTTTTCAGCAAACAACTCTGCATCTGGAAAATGAGAACAGAACAAGGTTTTAGAAATAACCTTTACTAAAACTGCAAAGTGCAAAGATGAGAAATAAAAACAAACCCCAAGAGAGCCCATAACACCAAAAAGATTCTCACAAATGTTTACATAAAGGTTTTGAGATAGTTCCGATATCAGGTTCAGATTTTCCTGTAATATCGACAAACTTTAATGTATTTTGTTAAAGTTACCAAATACCAACAAAAAGTACATTGGCCTTTTTCACACAAGGTCACATACAGTAGGGCCAAAAAGTATTTAGTCAGCCACTGATTGTGCAAGTTCTCCTACTTAGAATAATTAGAAAGGTCTGTAATTGTCATCATAGGTACATTTCAGCTATGGGAGATGAAATGAGAATAAATAAAAAATAATATTGTAGGATTTAGTACCCAGAGAGAACCCATGCATGCTCAGGGAGAACATGCAAACTCCATGCAGAAAGACCCCAGGTCGGGAATTGAACCCACAACCTTCTTGCTGCAAGGCAGCAGTGCTACCCACTACTTTTGAGCAGTAATTGCTAAATAGGCCTAATGTGTTTATTTGGCAATAGGCAGAGTCTCTATGATCTTCTGTTTCCCCACCTGTGGGACTGGCTGGCAAAGGGGAGGTAGCTCTGGGACCCTCTTGATGAGGATCATCCTCTTCCTGTAGCGTGAACGGATCGGTCCCATCATGGTCTGTGTGGTAAAATGAAAACTTTGAATTTTAATGCTTTTTCTTAAACAGTACAACAAGACAAAGTCATTTACAAATAATTTGAAAAGTATGGCCTAGTTTTTAATTATTCTTACTTTTAAAACCCATATCCAAAAATGCAATCTAGCATGACAAAAAAGCCTTCATAAGATCATAGAACACATTCTCATAAGCCTTCATAAGAACATAGAAATCTTTCTCTAAATAGAATGCATATGTTTCCAGTTTAATGTCTATGTGAATCAGGCAGCTTTACTAATGTCTTCTAAGGATAGACACCTATCTCAGGTTCACTGTAGGTATGTGGGGTATCATTTATAAATCATTGTGTGGAATCCATACTAAAAAAAAATGACATACTGCAAACACCTGAAAATGAAGAAGAGCAAAAAAAATAAATAAAAAATCCTGAATCATAAAACAATGTCCAAGCACAGAACCAATTCATTTTCCTCTATAGATCAACGCTGTGCCCCTAAAGTTAGCGGCTCCAAGGCTCCACTTCCTGGTTGGCCCTCTTCCTGACCACCAAAAAGCGTTTATGGTCCATTCAAAGTGCCATATGATTATCATTGTGTATTTAAATGTGCCATCTGATCAATATTGATGACACCTTCAGAGTCTGACGTGGACTGACCATACTGTATGTACAGGGACATCCAGACAGCATTGAGCTTATAACTGACTGTGAGATCTAAGCTCTATAGGTATATTTAAAGTATTTTTTTCTAAAAATTACTCTAGGCAGAGAATCTGCGAACTGGTGTTTTTTTCTTTAGCAGCAATTTGTGCTACAAAGAACCAACAAGAACAACTGTAATTAATTAAAAAAATAAAATAAAATAGGTTTAATATCAGCAAGAATGGTCATTATTAGGCCACGGCTTATTTTTTCTAAAGTTTTCCAAGTCTCTTGTTGATTATTTTCTTTAATAAATTGACTGCAGCATAAAATCTCATTCATTTTCGCTTATATTAAACATGTAAATTATTTATACATATGAATATATTAACTACTGCATGTACCACAGATTACTTAGTTATATTTATTTGTATTGCTTTAGAACCGTGCTTCAAACTATCCTTTCCTTTTTTCCATACTGCAGATCTACAGAGTGTCCTCTACATTTCAACCCCTGTGATGAACAGGGATGACGTGGACCCCTCAGGTCCCTGAGCAGCGCTCTAGGGAGTCTGATCAGCTGATAACAGGCCATCCCTCTTTGCCAGGAAACATTGTAATCCCTGAAATGTTTTCCCTCCTAATTCTACCATTTTTAAAGTCTCCAGCATAGCTAAATATACGTACCAGTGTGGATGGGTCGGAGTTTGTATGAGGGACTGCACATATTCATAACAAATATGTTTTTTTTATTAATCCCAACCATGGAAGTTAGTGCATGCAATTCCCAGGCCACCTTTTGTGCATATGCAAGTTTTATAAATTAGACCCTGATCCGGCTTTTGGACAATGGGGAATATTAGACTTCCCAGTGAGAACTCAAGCATTGCTGGTGGGGACATACTGTAGAAATTCTGTGAATGCATCTGGAATTCAAGCCTGGTGCAAAACAAATGCACTAAAAAATAAAAGTATTGGAGTTGTGATTTTCCATCTTCCAGCAGAGCAACAACCCCAATAAAAACTGCCAAACCTACAACAGAGTGATTTTCAACACATTCTTTAGTTAGAATGGGCCAGTCAGCTAAATCTAGCTGGATACTACATTTAAAGATTTTTTATTAGTCAAAAATAAACATATATATTTATTTTACTGTAAAGTTATGCACTACTCTGTATTGCTCTGTAACATAACATATATATCTATAAACATTTATTAAAATATGCAAAAGGTTGAGGTAAAAAGTTCAACACGCATAGATATTTGTGTAACTGAATGTGCATTCTCCTGAGTCTCTCTGATGTTCGATAAAGGGTAAGTACCACCATCTGTTGGGCTGTTCCAAGCATTGTTGTGAGGGCTGGAAGCTGCAGGTGCTACTTCCCAAGGGTCTGAGTGTGAGTTGGTACATGGAGCCCAAGGATTAGAGTTGTTGGAGCATGAGGACGGGGCTACCCAGGGGCTATTAATCACAGGAGTGCTTGACTGAACTGCTGTGAAAACAGACAGGAAAGGAAAACAGGAATTAGACTAGAAATCCGCCATTGTTTTGTCTGCTGACTCCTTGGGTTTCATTCTGACCTCCACTGTGTGTGCCTGTAATGACGCACCCACCTACAGAGTCCCAGGGATTAGAGGTAATGTTACAGGAAGGCTGAGCTGACATCCAAGGGTCACTTGGGCAAGGCTGTGGCTCAGATGAGGATCCAAATATGTCCACCAGATCCAACATGGCAGACTACAGGGCAAACATAGAGACTAATGAAAAAAGATTTTCTCATTAAATTCAAGTCTATAGTTTATAAAACACATAAGAAACCTAACTATTGCCACTGATAATTAAGAAACACAAAAAACACATATAAGCACATCACAAATCATATGTACAACTTTTTGGGCATTTAAAATCACACAATCCAAAATGTCACACCATTTGCACCACTGAAACATTTCACAGTTACCCAGACACCTATTTTCTAATGCAGAGTCCTATATAACAATGCAAGCCACACTAGCTACTGCAGGTGAAAAGTAACCTTGCCTGCCAGCTGAATTGTTGTTATATTTGTGCATTAGCGAACACATGAGAATCCATTTTATTCTGCTCCCAGTTCATCCATTCCAGACCCAATATTGGTTGACCAATCACACTGCACTTCAGTATGATGGTTTAAATAGGCACATACAGTTGTGACTAAATAAAAGAGCTTCAGAGCCGACCACCGAAACTAAATTAACACAGCACTACAGGAGGACACAGGGAGCGACTGTTACCACATCTGTTTCATCAGAATATACAATTTCATCTTTGAAAGTGGAACAGAAGGAGCAATACAAGATAAGTTGCTACTGTGTCTTAAGAAATTGTGCTGAAGTTAAACAAAACAATATAGAAAGCCCAAATACAGTTGTATTTATTCCCACCTGAACAGGAACTGTGGCTTTTGGGATGGCATCAACAAAGAAAGAAGCCTCTGATCCAAGCTTAACGCCGTCAAGCTTGACTGAAACTTGCAGCTGCCTAATTGTATGGGCATGGTAGTGGGGAAGTGGACCTGACTACCTTGGGCCCAGGTTGGGAGAGGGGTCTTGGGTAGTCAGGTCAACTTTTTCCTGAAAATTCAGAGTTCTTTTTGCGGTGTTTTATTTTTAAACTAAACAAACTAAATTAAGTTCTAGTGAACGGCCATTTATTTCCTGCTTCTAAAACATTGGTCTTTAAGACAAACAGTTAATCTACACAAGGCACCTAGTATGTTCCTCCAACTAACAAGTGGCATCTATTATGACCAGAAACAGATGTCAATCTGCTACTGGTAGCACTGCTATGCCTGATTGTTGCAAGTCTAACTTCAGGTGAATCCTGGTAATAAGGCTGGTGACTGGGAAAAAAAAAAGAAGGTTCCTCTATTTAGGACAACAGGGAGGAACATTAGGGCCACAAAATGTGGTCTGATAGCTCATGTCTTTATATGTGTGTATTAGGCATGAATTTAAAATTTTGACTCTGTGCATACTGAAGCACACCTAAAGTAAGTAATTTTAAACATGCATTGGTGTTTTAAGGAATCTGTAAACAAGCGTTGTGCAAAATCAGCCTAAAATAAATCATGAAAAGCTGAAAATGAATGTGACCTTCATTGTTATAATGAGGTCATGTAAACTTTTGATGAGAACTGCATTAGAGAAATCAATATTTACACAATGAAGGGAAAGTGTTTTTATCCTCCCTGATATGATGGGCTGTGGTATTTGTGTACCTGATAACATGAACATGCTGTATAATGTGTCAGCTGGCTACCATTTACACCCACTTTTCATTCTGTTTTACTGACGCTACTGAAAGCACCTGTCTCTCTGAGATAAGAGTAATACGAACATGGTGTAGCCAATTACACGCCTCTGTTACATTTATATAACACAGTCAGTGAGTCTGATTGGCTTTTTGACAGATGTACAATGAGATCAGGACTGTCAGGGAAATGTGATGGAGCATTAAGGTTAAATATGACAGTAAAATAAAACCCCTTTACCCCTTTCCGAGCCCTCTCTGAAAGCCCCCTTCACATTTTTTGTTACTACTGTTATTATTTGTTTAATTTATCCTCCTTATCTCCAAATCCAACCTAAAAGCTTGGCCTGATTCTAAAATCCCTGCCAGCTGCCACCCACAAAAAAGCCCACCCACCAATCTATGCAAATCTGCCTTAAACCAAACACAAGCTATCCTGCTCATACACACACATTTTCAAACTAACCTCATGCGTCCCTGACTGGCTCTCTCTTCGACTCTCATCCAGGGCCTTCTGTAACACGGAGTCGTCTCCTTGGCGACAGCGCTGCTCCTGCATTGGCGGCATAGTGACATCATGAATGTAACAAACCCTTGAGCACACCCCCGTAAGCACAATAATATTTTGGCCTGATCCGGCAGGGTTAAACCAAACAGGGATGTTAAAGCTTATGTACAAAAAGATGATTAGAGCAGAGTAGTGGTAAAAACACCCAAGAGTTCATATTTTGGAGACGAAAAATGTTGTTTTGGGTACACCATAAAAAAGAGGGAATCATTCCACATGACAGAAGAGATGGACGGAAAAAAAAAAGTGAAGAAAAATAAAAAGCCCAAAAGCTACAAGGGATTGTCATATAAGCCATCTATCCTCAATATGCATGAAACAACACAGAGTAGAAGGTTAATTAAAGTTTTTTATTGAGCAGCGAGGTGACAGGTTTGTATCTCTTTGTACCTCTGGCTCTTTTTTTATTAAAGCTTTAGGCAATCCACAGTTGTGTTTTTTTTTCATCCATCTCTATGGTAACAGTGTAAGGAAGGGCAGATGTTGAAAACCCTTAACCAAAACCCACACAAACGTTATGCTACTACTGCTCATCTGCTCACAAATACCTTTTTTCCTCCTTTCTATGCACCTTATGAACTATAAATGAAGTTTTTATGGTAAAAATTTAAAAGGTGGGTTAAAAACCCATTCAAATAGAACATCTTTAATATCAGTAGTACATTTGATTAAAAAACTGTAGTTTATATTAAAGGCACACTATGCAACATTTTTCAGTTAATTAATGTGTTCCATAACGTTTTGGATGATTAAATGAGTCATTTCAGGTTGAACAAAGGTATTCTCGGCCGCCCTGGTGGTCTGTGGGAGAAATACCGCACTTGCAATTGCAGGAGCCCTCGGCCCGCACCCACAGGCTCAGAAGTCTCGCGAGAGTCGGTCTTGCTTTACGGCGAGAACTGCTACACGCCCCCAGTTAAAAGCATGCTCGTTGCTAGCACAGTGGCGATCTTTGTGCAGTTATCATGGCGGAACCAGCGTGAAAACAGCGAAAGCCCATGTCGGAGCAGGCAAGAAAGAGGAAAAGGGCTCTGGACAGAGAGAGGAGTCTGGCGAACGGGTGAACATCGGGCTAGCTTTTTCCGAATGGCGAGAGCTAATATAAAAAGAAGGCTGCAAGGCTGACGCGGACCTCGTGTTTCTGCTGATGCGATTGTAAGTAACATTGGAATGGTTTCTCTCTCTCTGTGTGCATGTTCATACTTTCACTGTGTTAGTCATTCGTTGCGTTTGCCTGTCTGCTAAGCTCAAAACAACCGCGCCTGGCTTGACGGAGAAACCAGGAGAACAGCTGTGCATATTTACGACAGTGCACTTTTACTTTCGCCCTCTGGGGGGAGCCTCGCTGGAAAATCAACACCGGTTGCATAGTATACCTTTTAGTGAATGGGGGCGTCCATTATATCAAAGCTGATTTAATAGCTCTGATAACAGAGCTTTTGGCATTTAAACAAAAATAATATGGTCAAATTTGAAGAGGGGAGAGTAAGGACACAGAGCTGCTGGTCTCTTTTAAATTCTTCATGTGTGTTGTTTTTGTTTTCTTAGTTTAATGCTCGTATAATGGTTCAGGTAAAGGTTCCATTAAAAAAGACTGGGGTCAACTGATGAACAAAATGGAGATAATGTGAAGAGTGGTTTTGGTTTTCTTCAACTGAAACTGTTAGAAACCAGGCTCAACCAGGACCCAGTTATCTCTCTTTACCAAGCTGATGTGAAAAACAGGCCGCATATATAACATATTTTGCCTCTCTGTATGTGTCTTTCATTATCTTACCTTCTGACTTTCCTCTCTGCTCATTGCTAAAGCCAGCTGGAGCTGCAGTTCCTCCTCCCCGTTGGTCTGAGGCCGGGCCTGTTCCAGGTCTGAGGCGGCGTGGGGGGACGAGGCTGAGGCTGCAGAGGGAACACAAAATGTTCAGGCTGAGTGAGGGTGGGCGAACAGATTCACAATGGCAGAGAGCCCAGGAGGTGAGGAGCTCATTTGCATATGTTCAGACACCGACACTGATTACAGAAGGAAGGAAGGTTAAAGGAAGAAAAAGCTCCATACATGTTTGTTAACGAGGCAATGAAGGACACTTGCACAAAACTTGGAAAATTATTACTACTTGGAAACAAAGGGAAAAGGGAAGATCTTTAATGAGAAAAGTAGCTTCAGGTAAAACTTTGTACTAAAACATGTTACCTGCTCCATATAATTCTAGATTCAGACTCACAGTTGAACGAGCATGGTGAGCCCCTGGAGCGGCTAAACTCCTCTCCGTACAGCACAGCCATGCTGGGCTGACTTGTACGTCTGCCAGGGTGATATGCTGGAGGAATGCCTCCATAAACGCCACTGCCGCTTCCGCTGCCCCCTCCGGTGCCTCCTCCAGCCATTCTCTCCTTGGTCTTCAGGGCCTGACTCCTCTCCTGACGCAGTCGGTCCTCGTCCCGCAACAGACACACCAGCTGCCGCGCTTTTTCCCTAACGTTTGCTCCCTGGTCTCTGCCATCACGATCCATATACTGGAAGTCCCGCAGGGTCTGAACAAGACACAAAACGCATTTTTCCTAACAGTTACACTTGACACACTCTTTAATTTTATATTTGGGGAATGTAGGACAACAGATGGACTTTTTAACCATCAAGCTTTCAGTCACATCTTTAAAACAGAAGCAGCACAAGCCTGAATTCTTGTAACACAATTATAGGACAGTTCATTTAGAAGAACCTTTTTAAAATCCTTGGAATATATGGAGGATTTCAATAAAAATATACATAGTAGTCATTTTTTCTTGTGTGTATAACAGACAATTATTGAAAAAAAAATGCAATATGTGATATTGATAATAGCAATAACTGCATAATTTCGAAAAAATATACATACGGTAAATCTAAATTGTCACATTCGGAGAATTAATTGTGATTTCAAAATAAACAAGCTAAGAAGTGTCTTTAATAAATTGCTTGATAGTGAGTAGTTCTCTTAGCAGGTTTTACATACTGATATTGAAATGATTACACATTTGCTACAGTATATATTGTGCAGTCTCAGATATGCAGGAAAATGTTTGTGAAAAAATTGCTAGTAATACAAGCTGTAGCATTTCACTACAGGTGGTGCACAGATTAGTCCTTTCTTTTACCAAGAGTTAGTCTAATAAGAATAACCTCATTGTTTAAGGTAATACTTCACACATGTAACTGTCATTGTTTTTATTTTTAGCATTTTAATTAAACGAATTGGGGTAAATTGTGAACAAGCTGGGCTGCAGGGCAGCACAGTTTGAAGCACATTTTGTAGCACAGTTGCCTCTCTGCTGGCTATCTGGCTTCCTCCCACAGTCCAAAAACATGTTTGACTGTTTGACTAGTGACTCTAATTAGGTGTTAGAGGTTGTGTGCATGGTCCAGTGTCTGTGTTGCCCTGTGTTAGACAGGAAACTATTAAGTCCATACCCCTCCTTTTTCCCAAAAGACTGCAGGAAATAGGTACAGGCCCCTGATACCCTCATGAATGAGTGGTAGAAAATGGATGAATGGATGTAAATAGTAACCTAGCCTGCAAGCTGAACTCTCGCGGAATTTGCGAGTTCACAAACAAGCTATCAACCTTGTATTACTCCAGCTTAAACTGCTCAAGACTGACCCAAACAGGTCAGCCAATCATATTACAGTATTTTGAGACATAAAGCTGTGATGAAATCAAGAGCTGCCAAGATCAGCACTATTTTTCATTTTGAAAAATAGTGCTACTTCTATCACATCTGTTTGGTCAGAATTCACAATTTCAAAGCTGTAAGAGGAACAGCAAGAACATAAAGGAGTGTGCTGTTGTGGTTTCTCATGATGTCTTCTGCGATCGCATTTGTTACTGAGATTGGTAGATGTTGTCTACCAAGGGAAGACAACATCTACCAATGAGGGAAGTTGTCTCTTCCCTCAATCAGCTCAAAAGGTTCTGATGAACGTCCATCCGTTCCCTGAACAGATTCAGTGGGAGCAATCTAGGGTTAATAATATGTAAAACTATCTAGTGTTACACATTATCAATCTGGCTTCCCAGGTTAGTGAACAAGTTTAAAAGTCTAATTATATATCTTTATATATATATTTCAGTTTTGCATTTGGAGTTGTCAAAAATCAAAGTGACTCTGGAAATCAGGACCATCTATAAATGAGGTGTTATTGTTCCTTTAATCAGTAACAAAAAAAATCCACATTAGAAAAACAGAAATATTTATCCTTGATCGACAGATGCTAATTAAATGAGTTTATTTCTGAGACATGATGTTGGGATCTGGAGATCTGTCCACCTTTCTCCAGCAGAGGGCGCCCTAGGTCTCCTGGAGCTGACTACCACACCTATGGCTGATTTGCTCATCAGGGAGACCAGCATATAAGCAGCGGCAGAACTACACTTCAGTGCCAGAGTGTTAAGCCAGTTACGGTTAGCAAGCCTGAGCCAACCACCCTGCCTGATTCTCTGACTCCCTGAAAGCCTGACTTGAACCTAACCAGTTTTCCGTCCTCTCTGCCTCTTAGGAAGAATCTGACTGAGACCTGGAGCTCTGGAGGACCAACTCAACTGAAACCTGCCTGCCTGCTCTCAGTAACAAACCTGAAGATTGAAACTGTCTGGATCTGCCTACCATCCTTCAAGAAGCAACTTGAAGAAGCTCTGAACATTCACAAGCCTGAAGCTAAGTTCTGTCGCTGCCAAGCCCTCTGCCATCAGTCAGTCTCTAGACCAGGGGTGCTCAAGTCCAGTCCTCAAGAGCTACTTTCCTGCCACTTTTTGATGCACCCCATTTTTAACACACCTGAATCAAATCAGTGGCTCATTACCACACCTCTGCTGGGCTAAATGAGGGGATTGAGCCTTTGGATTCAGGTGTGTTAGAGAAGAGCTGCATCTAAAAGTTACAGGATGGTAGCTCTTGAGGACTGGACTTGAGCACCCCTGCTCTACAGGTGCTGGTCATAAAATTAGAATATCATGAAAAAGTAGATTGATTTCAGTAATTCCATTTAAAAAGTGAAACTTGTATATTATATTCATACATTACATACAAACTCATATATTTCAGATGTTTATTTTGTTTAATTTTGATGATTACAAATGACAACAAATGAAAATCTCAAATTCATCATATCAGAAAATTAGAATATTACTGAAGACCAATAAAAACAAAGGATTTATAGAAATGTTGGCCAACTGAAAAGTATGAACATGAAAAGTATGAGCATGTACAGCACTCAGTATTTAGTTGGGCCTCCTTTGGCCTGTATTACTGCAGCAATGCGGCGTGGCATGGAGTCGATCAGTCTGTGGCACTGCTCAGGTGTTATGATAGCCCAGGTTGCTCTAATAGTGGCTTTTAGCTCTTCTGAATTGTTGGGTCTGGTGTATTGCATCTTCTTCACAATACCCCATAGATTTTCTATGGGGTTAAGGTCAGGAGAGTTTGCTGGCCAATTAAGAACAGGGATACCATGGTCCTTCAACCAGGTACTGGTAGCTTTGGCACTGTGTGCAGGTGCCAAGTCCTGTTGGAAAATGAAATCTGCATCTCCAAAAAGTTGGTCAGCTGCAGGAAGCATGAAGTGCTCTAAAACTTCCTGGTATGTAGCTGCGTTGACCCTGGACCTCAGAAAACACAATGGACCAACACCAGCAGATGACATGGCACCCCAAACCATCACTGACTGTGGAAACTTTACACTGGACTTCAAGCAACGTGGATGAAGTGCCTCTCTTCTTTTCCTCCAGACTCTGGGACCTTGATTTCCAAAGGAAATGCAAAATTTACTTTCATCAGAGAACATGACTTTGGACCACTCACCAGCAGTCCAGTCCTGTTTCTCTTTAGCCCAGGCAAGACGCTTCTGACGCTGTCTGTGGTTCAAGAGTGGCTTGACACAAGGAATGCGACAGCAGAAACCCATGTCTTTCATACGTCTGTGTGTGGTGGTTCTTGAAGCACTCACTCCAGCTGCAGTCCACTCTTTGTGAATCTCCCCCACATTTTTGAATGGGTTTTGTTTCACAATCCTCTCCAGGGTGCGGTTATTTCTCTTGCTTGTACACTTTTTTCGACCACATCTTTTCCTTCCCTTCGCCTCTCTATTAATGTGCTTGGACACTGAGCTCTGTGAACAGCCAGCCTCTTTAGCGATGACCTTTTGTGTCTTGCCCTCCTTGTGCAAGGTGTCGATGGTCGTCTTTTGGACAACTGTCAAGTCAGCAGTCTTCCCCATGATTGTGTAGCCTATAGAACTAGACTGAAAGACCATTTAAAGGCTTTTGCAGGTGGTTTGAGTTAATTAGCTGATTAGAGTGTGGCACCAGGGGCCATCAATTTTGAACCTTTTCACAATATTCTAATTTTCTGATATGATGAATTTGAGATTTTCATTTGTTGTCATTTGTAATCATCAAAATTAAACAAAATAAACATCTGAAATATATGAGTTTGTATGTAATGTATGAATATAATATACAAGTTTCACTTTTTAAATGGAATTACTGAAATCAATCTACTTTTTCATGATATTCTAATTTTATGACCAGCACCTGTAGACCCTCCTGGTTCCCTCCCTCTGCTGCTCCGCCTGAATCTCTGAACAGGTACAGATCTGCACATTCTCTCAGCTACATGATCATTAGCTGCCTGGCTAACCTAACTGTCCCTCTCTGCAGAGAGCCCTTGCGTGAACAGTCCCGGATTTGATTCCAGCACCTGTCAACTAACGTTGTGTTTATCATTGATTCCAGAATCTGTTAAACAACCTTGTGCAAACCTTTAATAAATTGTTAAACTTTTACTCTGACTCCTGGGTGTTCTGCATGTGGGTTAGAAACCTGAATCCCAACATGACACATGATGTTCATCAGTCATCCAGACATAGGTTACAATCTGTTTCTCTTCATTTAAGAAAAGAAGTACTACCGTACTCTCATCTTTAACAAGTTAAGAGCAACAAGAACATTTTAATAATTACAAGGCCCTACAAATAATCAGTTCCCTTAAATTTCACACTTTGTCATACTGCAACCACAAATTAGTGTTTTGTTGTATTTTTGAATCATTTGGGTGTTAATTCGACAGAACTGGATAATTGTTATGATTTTTTTGCAAAAATATAAAAATGCATCTCTGTAAAGTAATTTAAAGTTCAATGTTAAAGTAACTGAAAATGATCAAAGGGTTTGAATCTTTAAATATTTTTATAAGTTGGTACATGTGTTCACTGGAGCAAGATTGGTTCACAGATTCAATAATAAAAATAATATACAAAATAACAGCAAACAGCTGCACTGCAGCGTAATCAGGTACCTGAATGGTGAATGCATTTTCTCGGCACTGTTGAGCTACCCTCTCTGATCCTGTCTTCAGTAAGTAATCCAGCAGAGTCAGGGCCTAGATGCAAATAAAGGCTTTCTCTAAGAAAATACAAAGTGATATATGCCAAACAGAGTTTTTTCTCTTCGAGAACATAGAGTGGCAAACCTTGTAGACGTGTCTCCAGTTCTTGCCACTGTCATTGAGCCGTTTCCACACCATTCCCATGACTTCAGCAAATGCCACAACGTTGAAGGTCAGGTCAGCAATCTCTGACATGAGAGACGATGATGGGCCCCATGGATCGTTGGAAGTGGCCTCCCGTACCTTCACATTGACAAGAACACAATGTCCGTTCATCAGGTATGCAGTATCCCCTGTTCTTCCTAGCGCTGGCATCAAAAGAGGATCCTGGTGTCTAAATTTAATCAAGTAAAGGACAACATGTATTTTTGTATTTAATGTATTTTGATTTATATACTTTAAAGAAAATACTTGCCAAAACAAAAATTTTAATAAGTTTTGCTTTCATTCACTTTTATTAAATAATCATTCAAAGTGCTAAAAAAAAAAAATAATTATGTGGGTTTAGGAAATAAAAGTATTTTGATTTTGTGAGAAGTTTGTCCCATTAAATTTGATGTAAAACTAAAATGTAATGGGACCCACAGCATTTGGAAAAATCATACCTGTAGTTAAACGTGATACTGAAAATAAATAATGAAATGTCTGACTACCAGTTAAGGAGGAGAATGAAAATCCAAACAACACCAGCAATTCCTCCTCTTAATGGTCCAAAAAACAAGCTGATAGTGAAGGATTGGCCTATTTAAAGACTTGACCTAAACCAGACGGAGATGAAGTGATGCAATCTTAAGCAGGGGGCTAATGCTCAGAGTCCTTTCAGTAGGAATAAACTGAAACAATGTCGCAGGAAACAGTTAAGGGAAGTAGCTCCACAGACAATGGAAAAGACCTGAAACAAGTAAGTGTGGCCAAAAATAAAAAGAATAAAACATCTGTACTGGGGTAGATAGTTAATTCAAAACACAACGGGTATTCGCATAGGAAATAAGATACATTTTTATTTAGAGATACCTTTATTTCTGCTTCTGAATAGTTGTGCACAATATTCTTCACCTGTCGTCGCAAGGCAGATGTTGTCATGGTGAAATGTGGAGTAAGATGTTAGGGGAGAAAAAGTGAAAGCAAACGCTACATGGGTTAAAAGAGGAGTAGGGGGATCAGCAGAGTGAAGGTGGAGAGAGGGAGGGCTCCTCTTCTCTACCAGAAGTCCCAGGACACCCCTGTAAGAAAAAGGCAAACATGATAAGTAATTATACAATATGTTACTCTGAACAGACTGTTGAAATAACTTAAAACATTGCTTCTTCTGCACTGGTTATGTCTGTGGGTAATTTTCCCACAATATCCTTAAGATCACCACAAACATTAACATTCTCCCTCTGCTCTGCAGAGCCTCGAAAACACTGTCTGTTACAACTAGATACTTCACACAGAAGTGGCTCACAGTTTCTGTCTCTAACTTGTCTGACAAAGTTTCTTGAATTTAATGTTAAAAAACACCGGACACTATGAGACCAAGGTTTTGGCCCCATAAGGATCAGTAGGTCTTCATAACATAATCTATGTTGGGGAAATGGGCCTGAAGCTATAAAAACTTTTAGAAAACACACACGCACACTAACCAGTATGTCCTGCTGACCTTGTGAGAAACCTTGCATTGACTTTTATTCCACTACCAATTCAATTTAAATTAAATTTAGACTAATTATATAGCTCCGATTCGGAACACATCATCTCAGGGTACTGTACAGGGACAACACTGTCAGACTGGTCCAAAGACAATAACTTCTATCTTCTTTTCATTCAGAAGCAGAAAGTTAGAGTCATACCAATTAATCTTAACCTCAACTCAGTTCACACCTTAGTCCAAAACCTAACCTCCATTCCAAGAAGAAAACTTTCTTGATGAGGACCAGTTGCTGATCCCCTCCATGAGAAGTCCCCACTATGAGATATATTCCTGGAAATTGGCCTTACACTGTCCTCACAAAGTAACAAATAGGTAGGCACACTGATACACACCCACACACAACCAACCCAGATACATTTTCTAAATTCCTATTTGAGAAGAAACTCAGGGGGATTGATGATTCCAGGCGGCTGCAATACTGTCGCTCTCCCTCTGATTACAGTGAGTTCTATTAACCCAGTAAACCCAGGCTGATTTAATATGACCTTAATAATTTTAATCTTATTTGACTTGGAAAAAAACTGATTTATTTTTATTATAATATTAATTATTTTGCAAGAGTTTTCATCTTTTATTCTTTTATCTCCTTTTACGATAGTGTCCTTTAATTCTTTATCAAACATTTCACCCTGTTCATAATAAGTGATATCTGTCCCTTAAGCTTTGTCTCTAATCTTTGAGATGTAGGTCAGCCGAGTTAAGACTTGACCCAAAGAGCAGCTTTTTCTCTGTTGCTGTCTTTGTTTTTTTCCCTGGATGAAAATCTGCACAGAGTAAAAAAATAAAGCCTTTATAGGTTATTGAGCATAAGTTGCACTGCTTCCTTTTGCCATAACTTTCTCAGTGTTAAAACTAAAGCTGTCATAATATGCCATCTGCTAACCTCTAAACTACAGAAAGGTTTACAAATAACTCCAAATTCCATATTATCATTTTAATTTTACCATTTCAACACATGAAGATCAATGTATTTTCTTTCTATAAGCTTTCACCTCCGTTTGACTGAAATGAGGAAGGTTTTGATAAGATAAATCAGTGAGTAGAGATCAATTGTATATTATTGAGCCAAGGCCTTTATAAGGTCAACAAATATAACTAGATTAAAAGAAATGCAGCAAAAACAAGAACTAAAAGTAGAAATGAGATACAAGCATCTTCACTGCAAAATGATCAAGAAATACATAAAAAAATTCTTAAAATAAGCATATTCACCCTTAATTTGAGTAGGTAAATGAGATGATTTTCCTGTGAAATTAGTATATTTACTCTTCAAATAAGACAATGTAATTTTTTTTTAATTCTAAATATAAATTGTCTTGTTCCATTAGCAAAGTGTCTCACTTACCTCCTCGATTCAAGACAAAAATCCCTTTGCAGTGTAATAATGTCTAAGACTTTTATACTTATTAAACCTTTAACACTTCAAAATATCCATAAAAAACTTTGACCTCTATTAATACTAAACTCTAACTCTTCACTTAACATAAAATTGCACTCAAAAATGGACTCCCCCAGCATTAAATACTCTCTAAAGTCATACAAGAACGATTTAATGTGTGGAAAATACAAGTTTAGATTTGATCCAAACAGAAAAATGTCTGTAGGGTCAATTGAAGAAGTCTGTGGGCAAGAGACACACTCACAATCTAAGAGACCTGGAAAGCTTTTAAAAGGCAAAGTTGGCATATATCACCAAGCCAAGATGTGGGATGATGATAAACCTCCAAGACTGAATGCTAGAAAAATCTAATCAAAAGCAATTTTAACACAGTATCATCTGCAGGCATTTTTTTGTTTTTCTTTTTTAAATTCAATTCACAATATAAAAAAAATGGATGGATGGATGGATGGATGGATGGATGGATGGATGGATGGATGGATGGATGGATGGATGGATGCCCTCATTTTCAAAATGGAACACATTTCTGGAAGGTCTAACAGGGTCCAACCCAGTCTCATGGGAAAATGTACCCCCACTACGTTGGTCCACACTGCAAAACGTAGTGGAGGTACATTAATGGCCATTTTTTTGTGGTACTGTTACGTTTCTTCTACCTATACGCTTTCTATTGTTTTACGTCATAGTCACGTGACTTTCAAGATTCCAGCTGGCTGGGAGAAGAAAAAAAAATAAATATATGGCCGACATTCGCTCATTTTTTTGTGGAAAGATTAATGACTTGAGTTTGTTTTTGCATTAAAATGAGTTTTGATTACATTTCTAGTGAGAAATGTATAGTTTGTTACCAGAATATTTACTCAGGGAATGTACATGTTCACTTGCTTGTTCGTTTCTTGCAAAGATTTTTCAAGATAATGTGAAACTGTAACATTTTGGTATAAACATGGCTGAGATTTCTCTAACTTTTAGTGGGAAAATCAATAATTTCAATCAGTTTCTGCATTTAAATGGGTTTTTGATTACATTTATAGCGAGAAGTGTAGGGTTTATTTACATAATATTTCCTTAGTGAACATACATAATCACCCGCTTGCTAGTTTTTGCTACGGTATTTCGGATCTCGTCAGGATTATGTGAAATTGCAACGTTTTGGCTGCTACCCATCGCCTAGCATTTAGCTGCCGCCCCGATTCAACATTGAATTCTTTGTGATTTAACTCCATCTGACGGATCAAACCCTCGCCACTGCGGCGTTGCGTCTCAGGTTGATTTTCAGATCAATGCATTACGTCGTGGCATACGGGAGAAACTAATTAAATTAGTTAAAAAAAGGATCATGGGTTAAGATCGGATGTGTTTTATTTGGAAATCTACCGGATCCTTTGTGCATTTCACTTCCTGTTTGGTGCGATCTCATTGATGGGTTTTGACCAGATTTTGACCAAAGAGGAACTAAAAAAAAACAAAACAATTTAAATACACAACCAGCATATCTGGAATCAGTGACAGAGAGCATACATAATCACCCGCTTGCTAGTTTTTGCTGCGTTTTTCGGATCTCGTCAGGATTATGTGAAATTGCAACGTTTTGGCTGCTACCCATCTCCTAGCATTTAGCTGCCGCCCCAATTCAACATTGAATTCTTTGTGATTTAACTCCATCTGACGGATCAAACCCTCGCCACTGCGTGCGTTGCGTCTGAGGTTGATTTTCAGATCAATGCATTACGTCGTGGCATATGGGAGAAACTAATTAAACTAGTTAAAAAAAGGATCATGGGTTAAGATCGGATGTGTTTTATTTGGAAATCTACCGGATCCTTTGTGCAATTAACTTCCTGTTTGGTGCGATCTCATTGATGGGTTTTGACCAGATTTTGACCAAAGAGGAACTAAAAAAAAACAAAACAATTTAAATACACAAACAGCATATCTGGAATCAGTGACAGAAAGCATACATAATCACCCGCTTGCTAGTTTTTGCTGCGTTTTTCGGATCTCGTCAGGATTATGTGAAATTGCAACGTTTTGGCTGCTACCCATCTCCTAGCATTTAGCTGCCGCCCCGATTCAACATTGAATTCTTTGTGATTTAACTCCATCTGACGGATCAAACCCTCGCCACTGCGTGCGTTGCGTCTGAGGTTGATTTTCAGATCAATGCATTACGTCGTGGCATACAGGAGAAACTAATTAAACTAGTTAAAAAAAGGATCATGGGTTAAGATCGGATGTGTTTTATTTGGAAATCTACCGGATCCTTTGTGCAATTAACTTCCTGTTTGGTGCGATCTCATTGATGGGTTTTGACCAGATTTTGACCAAAGAGGAACTAAAAAAAAAAAAACAATTTGAATACACAACCAGCATATCTGGAATCAATGACAGAGAGCGACTGGGACCAGAAGTTTATTCATCTCTCCCCACTGATTTCCATTCAAAATGTTTTCGATCCCACCGTGCTCTAGGGAAGGGGCGGGCATACCGCCACCTACTGTTCATGAGTGTGTAGCATCATTGTTTTACATCTATTAAATTCTATTTTTTAATTTTGTATTCTGAAGATAAATAAATAATGCTTTCCTTAATCTATAAATATCTTTTATATTTCCTTTATTTCCCAATAATCCTTTAAGACTCCATTCTTGGCCTGTCCTCTTTTCAATTTCTTCCTTTCAGGTTCATATGTTTTGCAGTTCATCAATACATCTGCATTTTCTATCTCTCCACATCCTTCACATTTATCATTATTTTTCCTCCCTATTAAGTATAAATTGTCATTTAGATAAGTATGACCTACTCTTAATCTGATCATTATTATTTCTTCCCTTCGGTTTCTCTCATTAATATTTCTATTTAATACTGACTTTTGTACTTTATATAACCTTCTTCCTTTTTATCTTCATTCCACCTTTTTTTTTGCCATTTTTCAATGTCTTTCCTCTTAATAAATGATTTTCCTTTCCCTTTCCCTAAAGGAATTGTAATTGTTATTGCCTCCTCTAATTGCTAATTTGTCTACTACTACTACATTTTCCCACTTTGACCTTTTAAGGTTAGCATATTGACCAAAAGCTGACACCAAATATAAAGCAATCGATTATTTACAACAATATGTTACATTTAAT